GTCATTTGCAGTCAATTTCTTGGCAAGATTCTCAGCCTCTCCTGGACCATCACACTGGAAAGGAGTTTGACATCTGGTGAACTATCTGGCACACTCAAAGGATCAGGTACTGGTGTTGAAGCCAAACAACTATCCCAAAGCCTTGAAGTGCTACTGCAACACATCCTGGGGAGGGGAACACTCCAAATCAACTTACGGTATTTTTGTGACTTTCTTAGGGTGCCCTATCCTGTGGTCATCTTGAAGGCTAGCGACTGTGGCAGCCTCTACCTGTGAGGCTGAATATATGGCGTTGGGAATAGCGACTCGACAAGTTCTTTGGGTAAGACACCTCTTGAAGGATATACTCAGGAAGGATTTTAAAGGAAATCTCTTCTGTGACAATCAATCAGCGGTCAAGATAAGTACAGATGATTCCTCAAACAAAAGGGCCAGACACACAGATCGAGAATTCCATGTTACCAATCAGGCTTTATACCAGAAGAAGACAGAAATAACATGGATTCCGACAAAAGAACAGTTGGCGGATATTCTCACAAAATCACTGACTAGAGAACCTTTTGAGAGCCTTAGGCACCATCTCTTAGGGTCATAGTCAGGGGTGAGACCAGTTCTCATAATCAGTTATTCTATTTTTTTATTTTTCTTTTATTACTTTATCAATTTTTTGTCTGTTTCAACTACTCGATTGTGTTTCAAGTTTGATTTTTATTTTTCTTTACTCGTCACTCATTGTATGTAGTATGTCTAGTGTCTAGGGGAGGGGGGGGGGGTTGTGACCCAGTTACTGGGTTACCATCCAACTCACTAGACACTAGTGGAGACAGCTTGACTGAGCAAGTTTGGAGAATTCATTCATTCATTGATCACAAACTACATCAGTTATTCAACCTTCTGAATGGAAAAAGGCACAAAATGATAGAGTAGAATATTCCAATGAGGCCAAATTGGGATTTACAAAAGAGTGTGGTTATAAAAAAGTGTAGTGTGGATTTTAAAATGAGAAGAGGGACAAAAGTAAAAAATAGGAGGAAGGCAGGGAGAAAAGTGTGGAAAAACAATTAACCAACATCAACAATAGGAGATTTTTTAAGCAGCAAAGATCTTCTGACTGGGGGGTACAAGACTTGTTGACCAAGGTCAATGATGGTTTGAATCCAATTGTGAAACCCCCCTTGTCTCCAGGGTTTCACAAGGCCAAGAGGACCAGATTACATAATCTACTAATTATACATTGTCTAGCCTTGTCCCTTTCACCTAGACGGCAGAGTTCCCCTCTTGACTAGAGATGGTCAAAGGGTATCCGTCGCAGATACCCGTTATCCGCTGGCGGATACCCGCCTGTGCCAACGGATACCCGCCAGCGGGTGCGGATGGCCCCTTTTCCGCAAATTGCTGGCGGGTATCCGGGTATCCCAAAGGATACCCGCGGCCGGAAGGGGAGATGGCCGGCTGGAAGGGCTTCCTTCCAGCCGGCGAGGTACAAGTACCTCGCAAGTACCTCGTCGACTGGAAGGACACCCTTCCAACCGGCGAGGTACTTGTACCTCGTCGACTGGGAAGGAGGCCCTTCCAGTCGACGAGGTACAAGTACCTCGCCGGCTGGAAGGAAGCCCTTCCAGCCGGTCCGTCGCCGGCCCTTTAGAGGGCGGGTATCCGAGGATACCCGCTTGGATACCCGCTGCGGCCGACGGATACCCGCTAGCGGGTGCGGGTGCGGATGCGGATGTGCAATTTCCCTGAAACTTGTACCTCGTCGACTGGAAGGAAGCCCTTCCAGTCGACGAGGTACAAGTACGTCGCCGGCTGGAAGGAAGCCATTCCAGCCGGTCCGTCGCCGGCCCTTTAGAGGGCGGGTATCCGAGGATACCCGCTCGGATACCCGCTGCGGCCGACGGATACCCGCTAGCGGGTGCGGGTGCGGATGCGGATGTGCAATTTCCCTGAAATTGCCATCGGATATCCGCATCCGAACGGATATCCGGATGCGGACCGACCATCTCTACTCTTGACTGTCTAGGTAAGTACTGCTGGTTTTAGGATCCTTCTTCATTTTATTTCCTCAAGAGCTCCCCTCTCAACTGTCTATTTGAAATAAAAATTCTGCCTTTGGTTCTAGAACGTCCGGCTTTTTAGCCTTGAGCCACCTGTCCATTGACATAAGATCAGTGAAGAGAGTCACCTCTTACACCAATCTTCCCAAGCCCACGCTTCATCACTGACATAGAATTTCCAAGATGGATCAATCCTGGGGCATGGATTTTGGCCTGTTGATTGGAAGGAAAGCCTTCTGATCAACGAGGTAAATTACCTCACTGATTGGAAGGGTTTCCTTCCAATCAACAAGGTACATTGCATTGCTGATCAGAAGGGTTTCCTTCTGATCAACAAGCTACATTACATTGCTGATCAGAATGGTTTCCTTCTGATCAACATGGTACATGTACCTCATTTACCGGCAGGAAACCCTTCCGGTCAAGACTCAACATGGGGGCAGTATGCTAGCTTAACATAATCCCCTTGACCAGAGGGCCGGGGGCACCTCGCGAAGCGAGCCTCTGAAAGAGGGGCTTATGAGTCAAGTCAAAATCTTGGCCTGGAAGCTGGTACTTTTTGTGGCTTTTCCGGGATCTTTTACACGCAAAAGCCCATTACTCCCAGCCCATCCAACTAAATGATCAGCAGTAAAGTTTGTCACATAAGTGAGCATATCACCTTAATGTCCATATTTTTTTTGAAATATTTTTGATGAACACCTATCCATCCTTTGGATAGAAAGTGGAGGACTTGATTCCAGCTGAAAACCACCTTATTGCATATATGGTGGTACAACACATAGTATGAGTTAGCCTGTGAGCCTCTGGTTCATTCTGTACAGGAATCATGGGTGCCTCATCCTGCCACACCGGTAATGCTCAGCGATAGACACAGGTAGTATGTCTCGTGTACAGAGTTTCTATATCCATAGAACAATACACACATAGTATGCCAGAAGAACAAAGAGGTTTGATGAAGGAACTTGAGGTCCCTCATCAACCTCATGGAAAAATGACCTTTTTGAAAGGCAGGTGGGGGCCGATGTAAAGGGCCCCTGGCCTTGTTGGTGAGACAAAAAGTTAGATACAATTCAGGCCTTTTGCCTGGTCCAAACGGCTGAAAATATTTCCTAGGGGAAGAGGGGGTGATTGCCTGGGCAATTTTTTTCCCTACTAACAGCCCCCAGCTTCCAAGCCCAAATGTGGGCTTTAGTCGCAAGTCCCTCCTTCGGAGGCTCGCTTCGCAAGGGGCGCTTTGCGCCAGCCTGGCACCAGGCCCTCCGATCAAGGGACTTGTTGTTAAGTTAGGGCAGTATGCGGGTACCACCTGTTTTTTTGCCCAAAAACAGGAGCCAAGCCTTCTGGTCTGCTCTAAGGAAAGTCAGTATACTCTCCCCAGTTGGACTCCAAGCAGCAGAGGGGGGGGGGAGTGATTTCTGAAGTGGACTCTTATGAAAGTAGTGTTTTAGTAGTTTTCTCAATGGCTGTTGAGTTTTTGAGGTTCTTTAATGGCTACTCCTCCCTCAATTCACTCCCTCTTTCCCTTTTCCTTCTCTCTATATTCTTTCTTGATTATCTTGTTTTAGACTGAATTGTAGTATTTCACTGCTGGTTTTATGTTGAATCTCATGCATATTTGGATTCTCATTAGAACTATCATTAGGGGGGTTCACAATTGAACTTCAGAGTGACAAGTTCACAGCCTTCAAGAGTGTATCCGGATGATGAGCGCAAAACTGGACGATCAATGGGCGATCTAATCCTTCTGGATTCCTTCCTCATGAAAATCCAAATCCAGTTGTTCGACCCGATACTTGATCTGGCGGTCATCAGAATATAGTCCCGGATGAATCATAGGTGTGTAGCATAGTTCAGCCCCATACTACCATAGTAGCGTGATAAGTGCAATTCTTCTGCTCGGTTGGTGTCTCCTTCTCTTCCGTGTTCAAGTCCTGAGACGACTCCATTCTTCCCTGTAACTTCCACTTCCACTTCTTCTGGTATGGAAATCGAAATCGTCGAGCCGGGTTCATTCGTGCTGTCCACCATTCTAAATAAGCTTCTTGTTGTTCTTGAGCCGGCGGGTGTTGAGAAAGAGAGTGAGGTGGTGAATGATGGTCTAACTTGTAGTCCAGTCGGTAATCTGGGGGTCTTGATGATAATCGTTGATAACAGTGAAGAACTCCTGTGGGAGAACACCTCTTCACCCATTCCACCGAGGGGGTATGGCATTGAGGCTTCAGATTGCAGTTGGCCATGGAATAAAATCTGGATGCTGGAGGGGCGGCGCGGCCCCCTTGGATGGCGGCGGATTACGTAATAAAGCATAATTATGTGTAAAGTGCCTTTTGGGAAGAAAATAAGCAAAAGAACCTCAAAAACCAGAATACACAGACCATGCCTTCACCTCCGCCGCAAACCACAACGGCAACAACACCAGCAGCAGCGACTACAACATCAGCAACTGTAGCGATATCTCAGTTTGTCCCTAGACCAACCACGACTACCCAAACCTTCCTACCAGAATTCTGGAGTCATATCATCCGAAATGCCGAAGAATATCAGTCGGACTTCAAGGATGGTCAGCTGCCCCTGGCACGGATTAAAAAGCTAGTCAAATCTGATCCCGATATCAAAGTAAATATGTCGAATGTGGACTTCATTTGTCTTGCTGGAACCGAACATACATATCTGACACTCTTTCTAACGTTTCAACTATTCTTCAGATGATCGCCAATGAAGTTACGGTTTTATTGGATAAAGCATGCGAAAGTACGCTGTTTCTCTCGCCAAGGTTTTCATACTTCGTCTCAGTCAAACCAAATCACATTCTGTAGAAAACGGGGTTCAAAAAAAATAATTAAACTCCAAATGACCGGGAGAACTTAAATACGAGCTAACCTTCTCTCTTTTGATTCCGTCCTTGAATCGCTTGTAGTCTTCGTCAACGAGATCACTGTTCGTTCCTTTCTGGTCGCCAATTCCTTGAATCGCAGAACCGTCAATACATCGGATGTGGCGATGGCCATCAGCCAAAGTGACATGTTCGATTTTTTGATTGATATCGTCCCAGCTGAGCAACTTCCGTCCGAGTGAGTCATCGAAAAAAAAAAAAAAAATCTTTCTCCTTCCGATATATCTCGGCCATGTGATGAAGATTTCGATGATCCAACAAAAAAAAAACTCGGGTTTTTTTTGTTTTCTTCAGGAATGAATCAGCAGCCAATCTACCACCATGTCCTTCGTCTTCAACATCACCCACAACAGCACCGAAAAACTCTACGACGACTAGAAAGAGACGAACAACAGTGCCAGAAATTCCAGATGATACAACCCAAACAGAACCGACAGTTTCAACACCACTTCCATCAGCACCTCCACCGTTACCTCCCAAAAAGAAACCCAAGAACCATAGGGTCAACCGAAACTTGATGCCCGAAGAGGTCGCGGTGCCAATTCCAGATACAGAGCTAGTCAAAAAGGAACCTTCGCCCGAGCTGTCTCCTCCAAGACCGCCAAATGGAAGATTACTAGCCATCCCGATTCCAGATTCTGAATTGATCCCTCCGAGACAATCAGAATCAACATGGGAAATGGCAGTTCCGATCACATCCAATGATCAACAAACTTCGCATCTGCCATCGAATTCCGGAAGAGCGTGGGAGATGGCCGTGCCGATCTCAGATTCATCATCGCATCAGATGACGGGGGAACGAAATTGGGAAATGGCAGTGCCGATCTCTAACGATCTGAGTCGACCGTCCATTCATCCATCCCACAAACGAAAACGAAACTGGGGCTTGGCCGTGCCGATCGTGGATGAAGCCCAAGAAGAGGATTCTGAATATCCCCGCTTGGAAAAGCGGCCGATGTTGAAGAGAGATTCACTACCTTCTCCTCCGGGAACAAGTCGTGATGATCATCAACGCACATCGAACCATGAGATGGTAGCCAATAGTCAAAGGAACTGGGAGCTTGCAGTGCCCATCGTCGATCATCAGCCCGATCCCAGTCAGCAAGAAGCACAGATGATGTCGAGCAATCCCAATTCACGACATCCATCTGACAGGCTCGCCCCGGTCCCGATAGACCCTGCTCTCTTTGACCTCGGATCTTCTGTTCAACTCACTTCAGACCTCATCAATCCGCATCTTCTACCCCTTGGCGATGACTCTCCAAACATCACGATCAAGCAAGAAGAATGATTCCTGTCCTTGTTCTTATATTCATTCCACTTTCCATACTTTTTTTATTCGAGTTATTATCAGCACGGTGATCGTCACGCTTTCTTCTCCCTTGTTTTCCCAGCATTAGAGTTTGCTCAAATGCAAGCAACACAACGAAGCTCATAGCTATTTTATGATGGTTTATCTGTTAATATGTGCTGATCAAGCTATCTGTTTGATTATTCAAAAGCCAATCACATTATTCTCTGATGATGATGATGATGAAAATGGTTACTCAAATTGTTTTTACAGTGGTGAGTAGCATCTGATTTATCTGAGTACATATTGTAACTATCTCCCATTACTATTACAAATGTCGAGTGGGGTGAGCCAGCACTGGTCTTTATTTTCCCACAAAACAAAATAAATAATGAGGAGAACACAACAACATCCACCGCATGTATCTGGGGGTAGGTAAGAAAGTACTGGAAATTCCTTTCTGTCTTGATGACATTCAACTTGCATGTATTTTCAAATGGGCTATAAATAGCAATAACTTTTGAATTGTGATCTGCTATGAACAATTGATGATAATAAGATTGGTTTCTTCAAGTGTGATGTCACTGTTAATTGATAGGTAGCTCAATTTACCTTGAATCATGTTGTTAATTCTTATGGGCTGATTTAGATTGTCTAGATCATCTGGTCCATAAGAGGAATCAGGAATGGCTCCTTGATGTGGATATTGCTGTGCCAGAATGATTTTTTGATGAATCCCTCCAATTACAAAAAGAGAAATAAACCGCAAATAAAAGTGCAACAAACTTCAAGACATAATTTAAAAGGTCAAGTTGTGTGTATCTTGACAGCTAGGAATCTGTGATGATTGATAACCCTCCTGACCCTCCATTTCTCATCAAACATGAGTGTGATGCACCAGTCAAGCCATGTGTGCATTGATTTTGAGGCCAACGCAAACTGGAGAGGGTGAGGCCAAACTTTACTTACAAAGGGATATATTCGTCCTGGCCCCCGAGCGCTTTGGAGGAGGCCAAACTGGAAGTTGGTTACGCGCCATGCGCACTTTGTTCAGTTTATTTGTTGTGGGGTGGGCTTTGATTTCCGAGCGAACCGGCTGACGAAGACCATATATATTTTACAGCGATTTGTATCTCATAGCAAGCACCAGTCGATCGATAGGGAACAAGAAGAAGAAGAATGGCCAACCCAGACTCACTTCGCAGTCGATTCGGGAAATCAGACGCGGATAGAGTCTATCAGCTGGCTCACAGTCCAACACCCACTCAACTCTCCCTCCAGATTAAGCATGCACTCGAAATAATCGAACTGGCCATTGTCCGTTTTGGGTAAACTAACCAACACTCTGTTTCATCTTTCTTTCTCCCCCCCCTTATCAAAATAAAAGGTCCCTCCAACAAACCTTCAACATCTCTCGTTAATCCCAACGTCCTGTGTTGTCCATTTCATCAATCTGCCATTTCCTTACATAATCAGTGTTGATGGACTGTCTATTAGTTTTAATGGCGGAAAAGATTGTAAGTCGAAACGCCTAAATAAATCTCCGAACTCCCGAGTCCTCACATTCTCAATCATCTCTTGCTGTGCTGGTGCCAAGAACAAAGAAAAAAAAAAACAAGAGATGAGATGAGACACAGTTTGTCATCCGTGAAGCGGAGACTTTCTATTCCATCTTGTTCTACTTCTTGGATTATGAGGTACAGAAGGGCGGCAGGTGATTGATCCTAACCACTGTACTTGTCCGATGTAATTAGCTACAGTTCTTGTCCATTTGTTTGCAGCAGCGTTGTACCGGAACTCCTCGATCCCGACTTCATCTGAACCGGAGCCCAACTTGAAAATTTCGGGCCTCTATATTCGATGTCAATCCCCCTTCGCCGAAGTTGACGAATTCGTGAATCACTGTCAAACAATTTACAATATCGATCTGATGACGGTCGATAACAGCTTGAAGAATGGACTCGGTGCTTTTCTCGCCGAACGTCCGTCTATCAAAGCCATCTTGATTGGAACCAGGGCGACAGATCCTAATGGAGGTCAGTGATCGTTCTCTGCTTTTGAAGGCCCACACAGTTGACGGGTCCAACTACATATCAAATCGGTTCTTCCAGTCGTTTCATCAAATTTCATTTTCAGTATCCTGAGTGCTGTCGATGAATAGGAACATCTCAAAGACAGATGCCAAGTGATGGCTATCGTTAATGTATGTATTTGCCTCTTTTGCAATTCCTCTTATCCAGGCAGTCTAACGGATTTCGATCCAACCGATTCGGATTGGCCATCCATCATCAGAGTTCATCCAATCCTAGACTGGGGTTATTCACATGTCTGGGAATTCTTGCAAAAACTTGAAGTTGACTGGTGTAAATTATACAACTCTGGGTCAGCATTCCATTCGCTGCTCAAACATTTCCAAATGAATTTGTGATCCAATAACCCACACTAATATTTTTTTTTCTTTCGTTTTTTTGCGTCACACGATGAGTTGATTCGTTTCCCAGATACACCTCACTAGGATCCAGTTTCAATACCTTCAAAAATCCATTTCTTGAGACTGACGATGGATGGAAAGCCGCGTGGGAGTTGAGCGATGGAAGAAACGAAAGGGCAGGCAGAATGTGAGATTATCCTCATCATCCGCGATCTCTTTTCTTGTTCTCCATATGATTCTGGAAACACAAAGGAAAGGTTGCGTATTGCTGTTGAAAGAGAAGCTAATATGATTTGAATCCGATTCTTGATGCTTCATTTAAATTAGATCCGGGAGCGTCCATTCTGCTGCTTGACGAAGCCCAGTGTCTTCACTTGTATTAGGAAGTAATGTCCATGGGCGGCGTTGACGCCCTCTCCATTCCACTTGTTTCCTCCAATCATATACTCTATTACCACATTAACTTCATCTATGTAATACAAAGATAATCAGATGCTTGGCATAGGATTTGTTGGCATAAATTTTCCTCACAACACTCGCATTTTCAAGCACTGCATCTTATTGGGAGGACTAATCCAAATGGGTAAAGGCAGGTAGAGCTGAGGGAATAGCAAAATACAAAACCAATCCTTCAAGCTCCCATCAAGCTCAAGATTATGGCAAGTCACATCATTGGGTTTTGTACCACGGGGTCGACATTGTTGGATAGAGCGATTCATTGAGAGTTTTATAAACAAATTAATAGTCCTGTGATTCTTACTATGTGTTTTTGAACAGGGTTAAAGAAATAAACAGTGTGACTGTGGGTCTGATACGAATGGGATGCAGGTTCGTTGGTGGCTTGGATAGATGGAATGTCAGACACTGAGGCTGTAGCCCATGTGTCTACAACCTGTACTTAACTGACAAACACATGTACTGTAGTGTATTGGTTAAGGACTGTGACTTTGCCTCACCAACACACTTGGGTTCAAATCCCAATTATGTAATCTTATATTTTTATTATCTTATTTTTATACTTTTATGCTTTAAGTAATTCCACGGAATTACTTAAGTATTCACCTCTGTATTAATATTCATATTTTATATACATACAATTTGAAATCTTAATCATCTCTCTATACTCTGTAATTAGAGAGATGACATCATTCTTTCTCCTTTGAGCTTGAATGACATCATTTCCTCCACTTCTGGTTTAAAGCTTAATTTAAATACATATTTTGATCATTTATGATTATATACATAAATGATCCTCTGCAGGCCTCACCGGTCTCACAGGCAGGTTGACCCCTGCCTTTGTAATACTTAAGGGGGAGGTCTTCTTCCCCAGAATCCTCCCCCTAGAGATTATTACCATACAACCTGTTCACCTTACTACAACTAGTGAGTGGGGTTTTTATTATAATCTATATTACTATTACTATTATCCTTACTTCTTTATCTCATCCCTAGACTACAGTAAAGTCAATACTGTAGCCTAGAAGAGAGTTGAACCTTCCTCTAAGCCCGGCGCTGCGACGACTCTACCGCACGCGTCCCCTATAAACTTAGGGAGCTTAACCCCTCCGCTTTCTAGCGTCGAGGCGAGGTTTCTCATCCACTGGCTGCTAGTAACACTAGCAGTTATAGTGTGACCCGTCAAACCCATCAACGCCAGGTCACATAAGAGACCGGCGCTGACATGGAATGTATCTGCCGTTCCTGAGATAAACTTGGCTACATAAATGAAGATCACAGAAAAAACTAGACAGCTAAAAATAGAATGAAAATGATAAAAAAGTGCTTCAAGACAGATTGACAAAACAACTTGGACGACATAGTTGGAGGTTTAGATTCTGATATTTCCAAGTGAGACTTCTTCAACTTACACTTTTTGATTGAATTCAACCATCCGGTCGTGACTGACAAATTTGAATGAAAATGTAGAGGCAAGAAGAATACCCGGACCTTCGTGATGATGATTTCAAGAAAGCTGAATTTCGGAGGAACTTCGAGAGGCGTATCAAGACAACATCAACCGACCGCAAGTAAATATGATTTGTGAAAGAGATTCCTGGACCTACATTGGCGATACTGTTGGGTTTCGTGTAGCTCGGATCCTTTGCCAGGCGTTGTAGCCAGCGGTACTTAGTCTTCCGAATTCGTACTGACAGGCCTCGACAAGAGCCCTGCTTAGTCTACCGGACCCACAAATAAGATCGGTACCAGCTGAACAAATAGCTAAGGCGATCGGGAACCCGCATAGACAGCCTGCAGAAGTCATACAACATTCCGCGCAATTTGAGAATGAGAAACAAGCACAATACGAGCGCGGGAAGCCATAACAGCAGGGGGTTTCATATATCGAGTAGCCTTCCTCGTCGAAGATCTCGACTCTTCCGTAATAGTATTTCAAACTACCTGGGGGTTTTTGGATTGCGGAGAACGAGCCGTCTGGATGAAGAACATACGGCGATCCGGCCATGTGATCGGAGATGAAGTTCTTGATCAAGCTCAATTGCTCCTGGCTTGGTATCCGAGTCTTATGATGGTTGCGTTCCATTTTGTCGGGAATAGGGTTCCGGATTTCCTCGGGTCTTGAGTCCATGAGCACTTTGCGGTGGCGCGGTCGCAAATGACCGCTGCTCTCGAGCGTCAATTGTATCGGCGGGGCCAGTGGAGGAGCGCTTGCAAATAAGACGGGATGCGGTGCGATTGTGACAGCACTGGTAGGGGCAGCCAAGGCATCCTTGAGTGTCAAGCAGATGAGGGCTAACAATGACATCCTGAACATAGCGACGGACATTGCTATGCTTAAATGTGTAAAGATTTGCCTAATTTTCTTTGGAGGAAGTGCTATAGTCAATGGGTAAGCTAGAGTGTGCAATGTGAAATGCAACCTGCAAGAACCTGCACCACCTAAAGATGAACAATACATACAAGCTAGAAATGGTGAAGCAGATTACGAAGCCATTTGAGGTAATCCTGGCGAGCCTGCCCAAACGACCCGTCCACGCAAAGCGCGAGCTCCGCTGGACGAGGCGTTTTGAAAGTTTCGTTTTTCATGAGGGAATGCAACAAGTCTGAATTGGTGACACGAGGCACTTCGGCGCGTATGTTAGACCTTGGGCTTAGCTAGTAGTCTCCCTCCCACGATGAGATGCCGAACTGGAATGTATAGGGGTTACGACTTTATGACTTTGCGACGACTCATTGAGTCATTTAATCGGCAGCGATACATAAATAGTTCGGGGTTTGAAGCGGTGCCGAGCGTAACAAAACCTCAGCGAGCATTCGCTGGCGAGAGCCAGGCGCGAAGTGCATGCGAGGCTTATCGATGAAACGTCGAAGCCCGCGTGACAGAATATGATTTTTGAGGCTGTTTTAGTGTTTTTTGCCACTTGGTTTTTTTCCCACCGAAAAGCATTACACTTTGTGGTATACCGGATCTGCGCAAGATGCCAGCGCATCTTCCTATCTCTTCAGAATTCCTTTGCGATTTTTCCTCTTTGTCTTTGAAACCGGATAATATTTCTGATTTCCTTTTTTGTTGTATTTTTTTTCATGGGTTTTTTTTTTTTTAATTCAACAGTAATTAACCGTTGGCAAAGGAAGACATAGTCCCAAATTCCCAACGGTCGGTCGATCTTTGTGATCGAAGACTCTGATAAGCAAGGTCATCGAATTGTCTTTGCTCTCTTTTGATCATCAGCAACAAAACTGAACACCTCAAGATGCCTCGAAAGAAAGCCAAGAAGAAGTCTGATAAGGTTACCCTTGCACAGAAACTCACCGAGTTGAATGACATCGAGCTGGAAAAGACCATCGCCGAGGACGCAAGACCATGTTATCCGAGTGATCAACCTTCAAAGCCGAAGCAGATAGAGGCCGTGATGAATCTAGTGAGACTCAAAAACACCTTCGTCATGGCCGGGACGGGTTTTGGTAAATCTCGGATCCCAGAGATGTATGTCCATCTCTTTGCGAAAACGAATAAACCGGTCGTCTTAGTTTTGAATCCTCTCGATGCACTCGGCGATAACCAAGTGCAAGAGAAGATTGCACAGGGGTTCACCGCCATAAACCTGAAGAAAATGAATTTCAATGAGACGATTGCTGGTCAGATACTCAAAGCTCAATACAACTTTATCTACCTGAGTCCTGAAATTCTCCTGAACAACCAGATGTTCACCGATGTTTATCATAATCCAAAGTTTCAAGATCATCTAGTGCTGACGGTGGTCGATGAAAGTCATATGATATATAGCTGGGGACTAGTAGCTAACAAGAAAGCTAAGAAGTCGTCCGCTCACAAACGGCACCAAGACCGATCAATCTTCCGACCCTCGTATGGGGACATTGGTCGAGCGCTAATGGCGACTCAAAACACGCCAATCTTAATGTTATCGGCGACTTGCAGACCCCTAGCTATCACCGAAATTCTGAAGAGTCTCAGGATTCCAGAAGAAAACATGCACTTTGTGCGAGCAGAACTGACCCGTCCCGAGATTCGAATTCTACGGTTCCCAATGGAATGCTCTCTCAAGTCAACCCGTGACCTTCGATTGATGTTTGGGGCAGAGGAGGATCTTGCAAATGCGAAGCTGCCACCGACCTTGATATACTCTGGGACCCGGAATGCTACACTCCAGGTCATGAAAGTTGTGAATCAAGCGCGAGGGATAGAGAATGGTCATGAAGATGCAGATAGCACCCTGATTCGCCGATATCACGCATGTACGGGTGATATGGATAAAGAAGACACCATCGGAGGATACGAACAAGGCGAATTCCCGATGATCTCCTGTACAATGGCCTTGGGCCTCGGTCAAAATTGGAAAAGGGTTAGAAGGGTTGTACACATGGGCCGAGGGGACCCTTCGAGCATCTGCCAAATGATGGGACGCTGTGGTCGCGATGGGAAACCAGGGTTAGCCATCCTATTCATGGAGCCGAAGAGACGATTTGGTCTCAATACGATCGAGGCAATTTCAAAAGGGGACAAACAGACAGATGATGTTAGGATGGACTCGTTGGCACTTACCCCTGTCTGCCTTAGGATTGCGTTTTCGATAGATAATCTGTATGTATTCTTTGATTTCTTGTTGTTAAATGTACATAATTTAATAAATAACAATTTTGGTTGATTAACATGCAGATATGGATACATTCCAATGGATCGAGACGATGCCAACTACCTTAGAGAAGAAATCAGGGAACTAGACAAAGGGTTTGCTGTGTGCAAGTGTTCCAATTGCGCACCGGAAGAAGCCAAGATGCTTCGAAATAACATGAGGATAATCGATAATGATAACATTGAATCTTCACTCGATCACCCGGAATTGTTGATCGACCCAAATTCCGATCAACTAATAAAACAAAAACAAACCAGACAGGCGAAGAAAAAAACTTGTGTTCAAAATCCAGTTATTGCTCAGTTTGCAGTCACACTCGTCGAGAATTTTAACGCTTTTCTTCAAGGATACGTATGGGAAGGCGCGATCGTTTCTTCCGGAAGAACTCTTTGGCTGTTTGGAAGCCAACACTATTGCGGATAACTTGGATCAAATCAATAACGAGCACGATCTGGTGAAGTTTATTGGTGACATGGTTGATGGGGAGCTACAAATGTTGTACAATTGTGTGATTAACTTCCGAGAAGGAACTGAGTTCAAAAATTACAATCGTGAAAGAGAGAAGTACAGTGATAACATTGATAACGAGATACAAAGAATCAAAGGAATCCCGGAGGCAAATCGATTAGCCAAACAGCAGTCATCTTCTCAACAAAAGGAGCCGAAACGAATTGAAACCGAAGAAAGGAAGAGGAAGCGAGAGGCAGAGAAGACCGCCAAGGATGAACACTTAGCCAAGGAGAAGGAGGCAAACGCAAGGCGATGGTTGGAGGCATCAGCGTTTATTGAGTCACGGAAAGAATTCTATGGTACAGGCTCACATCGGGCTGGTGGATCAGGGCCTACCTAGTAAGTTATATGTCTTGCCACTCTCCATCATCAGCAGACTGTTCATCACCTTCCGTATTTTCATCTCCTGCCCCATTTTCATCTATTTCGGGTTCATCATCCCCAGCCGAGCTAACATCCGTATCGTCATCTACATTGTCTAGGTGGTTGTGAGAGTTAGATACACCAATAGTCGATGGTCGAAGATTATTTATCGGCTTTCCTTTTTTCAATTGTTTTACTTTCAGTGTCTGAATCCCTAGTGCATAAAAGTTGTCGATAACAGCCGGTATATACTCGCCTAGCTTATGAACAGTTGAACACACATCATTTTTTCGACACATCCGAAGGCAATTGTTGAGGGATGTTATACCAATCCGATTGTGATGTGATTGAGCGATATCGACTTTGCCAGCATCACTCGCCAGGTCGCTGATAATATTTTGAAGCTATGAACGGTCAAAACACTGTCAATGTTTCTAATTATTTCAAGCTTCATAGTTATTTGGTATTTTTTGACTTACCAATGTAATGTTGACTGAGTACACATTTTTGAGCCGATCAATGTCAGCCCCTCGACCTCCATGGTTGAAAAAGAATTTCAGCCAGTAGTTCTGCTGCTCAAGATGTTGATCTTTTGCAACAAAATGCTTCTGACGTCCACTCGGGGCGATCAATAGTGAATGTAATATAATGTGGGCCAAGCCACGTGGTAATACCTCGTTCAGTAGTAAGATCATCCGAGGTAGTTGAACAGAATATTGAGTCAGTTTCTTGATCCCTTGCGATATAACAGCCCATCGTTTCCAGACAACCATTAGCCTTCCGACATCTCCAGCTTTCATTGCAGCATTCCCCTCAACAACAGACGCGAAATCGGATAAACGCAGTATTAAGTTTGACAACTTCGCTGAGCCTTGTGAGGCTTTTTTGGCCTCAGGTGAAAAGAATCGATCGAATGTTTGATCAATTAAATCATTGATTGTTTTGCTAGGGAGCTGTTCGAGTTGGTCATTGATGTTTTCTTTCTCGGTACCCATCACCAGTCTGTTTGGGTTACATGAAAATAAGACCATGGTAAACGTTTGATTAGATGTAAAAAATGATTCAATTACTCACTTGATGCAGTAAACCAACGTCGCTGTATGTATCTTGTCCATATTCTTGATCATAAGCGTGAAGTCTTTCTTGTCCACAACATTTGGACACGGAATTCCAAGACCTTGAAGAAATCGCCAGGCGCCTGAATCGCGCGAGTCAGAGCAATTTCCGTAGTGCTTTGAATAGATTGCATGGGCAATGTTCCACAGTGTGTGCGATCCCCCCAAGATTGTTAAGACATGTGATAAGCTTTCTTCAGGATGCCTGCTTGGCACTCGCTGAGTTCGCAAACTTGAGATGTTTGTACAAGAAGCTAGATCAGCATCGATAATCTGTAGTCGACTGGCAAAGTCGGTCATGGAGATGCTTGACTGATTAACAATTGCTTCAAATACTTCACCAACTCCTTGTGATGAGTTATCTGAAGCAACCATCAGTTTCAGCATGGTTATGTCAGGCTCGTCGGCCGGAAGTTGATCAATCATGGGAGGCTGAATCGCAATTGATACTTGTGAATCAGATGGTTGAGCAATATGCTCGAGAATTGTACGCGCGATTTGACTTTTCAAGACGAATTCCCAGTGCTCGTCCTCTGGTGGTTTTGGAATGAACATTTTAGGGGTGACTTCAAGTTTTGAAATGTTAGACATTGCTCGTTTGTAGCTCGCCAGAGTAAGATCGGCCTTGGGTACCGAATCGAGTAAAGCCTGATTTATCTGATGTACATAGCCCCACGTACCGTGGAACATGTGGGTTGAATGGCCAATCGACTGTGTATGTATCCTCTGTTCGAAATCGAGGTTGTCAAAGCACAAGAAAGGGGCTAATGTTGGGAGATTGGGAGGAGTTCGGCCAATCTTCGTTGCAATTCGTCTTTCGGCTTGCTTGCTCAGTCGATGCAAGGAGTTGTGGGCTGTTTGGCGGGAGGATGAGAGGCCAACATACTGTAAGAACTTGCTGACTCGGTCGGTAACACCACACGCTAGGAAAGAGATGGAGTTTGCAAGTTGATGTCCATTGTGACGTCGATTTGAGACAAATGCAGCCATTGAGCACATCGTTGACGCAGTCTGTGGAGGTTTCATTTGGCTGTGAGACTCCATTTTGATTGACAGAAGGAAATCAACAAAAAAAAACTTACCATCCGAGCTCTTTGACCATGATCTATCGACGATTTTTTCTTCGGTCCATTCAAAGTCTTCCCGCTGAACATGTAATGATCGTCCTCGCTTGCTGCACTCAAAGTCTCGGCAGAATCTGAGTCACAATCACTCAAGTCGTTTCCGTCCTTCATTGTTTGATTATTGCCGGGTCGATGTCCCATCTTATTCACAAGGAGTTCAAACAAAAAGGGCATATGATCTTTGATATCTTCAGTTCGCTGTCTCTTCGATTTTGAGCTAAAGAAATAGGGAGAGAGATTCTTAGTATTGTGGTATGCGCCTTTGGGATATGCTCCACGGGGAGGCTTCTGCGCCTCGACGATTCCGGTAGCCTGTAGAGATAAAAAATTTGTTTTGAGTTTCAGTTACCAGAACGAGTAAGTAAATTCCATATTTATCAATACTCACCTCAGCTAGAATGAAATCTTCCCATCGTTGACGGCCGGAGGGTTTTTTGACATACTCCACGATAGATTTGAGGAGCACAGTGTGGTCGGCCATCCTATACGCGTGCCCAGAACCGGCGTTGGACGGCGGACTTCATGTTTTTGCGTTGGAGGAAGGTTTGAAGGAATGACTTGGGGGTGTAGTTGAGTTGAGTGATTAAATCACATATGGCCGAAATCTTCTTATCTTCTGTCATGAGTTTCTTCCCGGAAGGTCTCCTTAAGTACATGATCGCCATTTTTGTTGATTTTGAAAATAGATGGGTGTATGCGGCTGAAGGATGAGAGAGGACGCAAGAGTGATCGGACCGATCAAAGGCGGAACTTGGAAGTGAATTGTGAAAAAAAGAGAGGGAATAGTAAAAAAAGAGACAATTTAAACGGTCAGGAATGTATGTATATAGCTTTCACCCGCCAGTCAATGCACAAATCAAATTCTGAATTTCTGATTATTTGAGTTGGATATTCTCAGAGAAAAAAAAATGCTAACCATAAGTGGAGTTGGCAGTCTGGAGGGGAAGATGCACAAGTTTAAGCCATATAAACTTGGGATAAACTAGTATTATGGAACTATTTATACAGTGAAATTTAAACTTTGCTACACCAAAAGGGTGAACTTCCGTCACACCAGACTGTGTGTTTAATTTATAAGTCCTCTCCCTGCGGGAGAGATCAGTGCCACACCTCGACCAGCGGCTAACAGTGCACCACGCCGCAGCAGGGACAACGGACTTAGATAAGTTCGAAGCGGTGCGGCCTCCAATCCATGTATTTATATGCACTCCTGCTGGCTGTGAGGGCCCACCTCCTACTCCTGTAAATCAACGACTTTGAATTTACTCCAGAGAAATCGTCGAAAGAACTTATAGGGGAATAGCGACTTGTCGAGAAGTTTTTGAAACATTCTGATCATATGGTCTTTCTTGCAAGCGTGCCGGGGTACAATCCAAAGCCCTGCTTGGCCGAGTTGAAATGACAGCCTCTCTATGCCACTTGTTTCCTCCAACCAACCATATAGTATAACCAGATTAACTTCGTCTATGAAATACATAGCAGGTATACAAAGATAACCAGATTCAGATGCTTGACACAGGCTTTGTTGCCACAAATTTTCATCAAAACATTCACACTTTCAAGTACTGGTTCTGCACCGTATAGGCCTAATCAAAGTGGGGAAAGACAGGTGGAGCTGAGGGAAATCATGTTTCCATAAAGCTCTAGATTACGGTTAGTCACATTATTTGGGTTTGATAGACCACTGGCCTAACATTGTTGGATAGATAGATAGATTGATAATTTCTAGAAAATGGATGGGTCTCACGAGCTGTGTTGTGAGTGTTTGAACTTGAATTAACACGCTGAGGAGTAAAACAGTGTGGGTACTGTGGGTCTGATAGGGAGGAGATGCAAGTTTGTTGGTGGTTTGAATAGATGAAATGCACCATTCCTGAGATAAATGTGGGTGTATGAATCAAGATCATAGCTAAAACCAAACAGCTAAACATTGAAGGAAAATGAAATTGAGAAAAAATGCTCCACAATACCTTGACAGGATGACTTGGACTCAAAGTGAGACGTTCATCACCAACCTTCGGTCGAACTTTTTGGTTGAATGAAACCGTCCGACGGCACGATGATTACAATTTGAATGAAGCTGTCTACGCAAGGACCCCGGACCTTTGTAATGACAATTCCAAGGCAGCTGAATCTCGGAGGAACTTTGAGGGAGGAATAGAAAGACAATATTAATCAACCAAAAGTAAACATGATTTTGAAAGGAATTGAGGACTTACACAGGCGCTACTGTTGGGTTTCGTCGGGCTCGGATCGTTTGCCAGGCGTTATAACCAGCATTGGCAACTGCACTTAGTCTTCCGTAAGCAGAATTCCTCGTGTGGATACAAGCCCCACTTAGTCTGTTGTCACCAAAAAAGCTCAACTCGAGACCAAATGAACACAGTCCAGTTGAGACCAGTAGAGGACAACATAAGATGCAGGCTGCAGAAGTGGTCGAATATTCGGCGCAATTTGTGCATGAGAAGCAAGCACAATTCGAACGGGGGAACCCATAGCAGCAAGATGTTTCGTATATCGAGTACCCTTCCTCATCGAAGACCTCAACTTTCCCAAAATAGTACTTCAAAGTACCTTGCGGTTTCTCGGTTGCAGAAAATTTGCCGTCTGCACCAAGCATATAAGGCGACCCCGCCATGTGGTCCCGGATGACCTTCTTGATTATGCTTAATTGCTCCTCGCTTGGTATTCGAGTCATATAATGATTGCGTTCGATCTTGTCAGGAATAGGGTTCTCCAACTCGCGAGATCTTAATCCAAGGACTTTGCGCGGTCGCGGTCGTAAGTGCCCGTTAGGCTCGAGTATAAATTGAATGGGTGGGGCCAGTGTCGGAGCGTTCGCAAAGGAGATGGGATGTGATGTGATTGTGACAGCGTTGGTGGGGGAAGCCGATGCATACTTGAGCGCAGAGTATATCAGGAATGATGCCAGAAATCCGAACATTGAAGCTGATGATCTCTGATTTAAGAAGTAACGATCCAAGTAACGTGGAGTCGCATAAACCGGACATCAACCGGAAGTGGGCCATGCAACCTGGCCCACGAAAACGCCCACGCTAACCGCGCGGGTGATCAGGGATTCGCGGTGGAAGTTTCATCTTTCATGGGGAGATCAATCAAGTCAATTTTTTGGGCTGGCGTCTGAGCAGCGGTGCACTTGCATTAGCTTTCCGCAGAAAACTCCTCCTCGGCAAGTGGGTCTCTCTCCTCTTTGGCAAGGCGGAACGTCAGGTACGGACACGCGCTGAAGGCTTCACGGCGAGCCAGTGAGCCCTGTACCGGCTTGCGGGGGAAGACTCCTTGGCAAGCCGTTAGGCCAATGCCATGTATCAGCTCACCGGGCAGGACTAGCTACCCCGCGAACCAGTACATCATGTCCGACTGCCAGCTCACCGGGGAAGATTTTCCTCTGTGGCGAACTGGCACAGTATCTACCGGCTCGCCGAGGAAGCTGGAGCATGGTGTACCAGCTCGGTAAGGAGAGATCCTCCCGGGTTCATGATGCAATGTCTCGTCGCGCAGTAGGGCTCTGTCCTATTTCAACACGTTTGGCCACGTTGAAAGGTTGTTTGATGTGGGTCTAATTAGGATGAATTCAAAGTCAATGCCAGAAATCTAAACAGTGGAATAAGAGCAAAGTTGTAAAGAAGCTCTTTCAAGGTGCTCGGACAAAATGACTCGGTGAAATTTTGGCAAAATTTAATTGAATGAAATCTTCCAAAGGTCCAATGATCACGAGCGACGACATAATTGGAACGAGGTGATCTATGTGGGAACGGCACGCTGACCTTCTTGATGATGATTTCCAGGAAGCTGATCTTCACAGTCACTTTGAGGGAATAGCAAAACAAGGGTAATCAACAACAAGTAAGATTTGTAGAGAATTTGAAGACCTACTTCATCGGCATTACCCTTGGGTTTCGTAGGTCTCGTATCTTTTGCCAGGTACCATAACTAGAACGGCCGATTAGTAACAGTTCATAGTAAGCAGCACTGGCAATCAAACTAAGTGCGTTGTAACTATAACTTCCAACTGCGCTTAGTGATTTGTAACAAAATTTTCCAGCAGGAAGGCTGAACACATAACCAGCTGCACATAGTCCATAGGCCACAGGACTACAGACTAGGCATATTGCGCAACTGGTACAGCATTCCGCCAAATTGGTGCATGAGCAACAATAGCAACACGCATGTGGGAACCTATAGCAACATGATGTCTCATATAAGGAATACCCTTCTTCGTCGAATACTTCAACTCTTCCAAAATAATATTTGATAGTGCCATCACGTTTTTCGATTTCAGCAAATGTGCCATCCGGTTTAAGAGTGTAAGGCTTTCCCGTCTCGTGATGTCGGATGAATTGTTTGATTTGACTTAATTGCTCCTCGCTAGGAATTCGAGTTGAATGGCTCCCGCGTTCCATCGAAGGAGGAGTAGGATGTTGTGTTTCCGGTGGCATTGATTCGAGAACTTTGCGATTTCGTAGCCGTAGATGCCCGTTACGCTCGAGTGTAAATTGAATGGGTGGGGCCAGTATTGGAGCGCTGGCGAATGAGATTGGATGCGGTGCGATTGTGACAGCGTTGGTGGGGGCAGCTGAGGCATACTTGAGAGTAGAGCAGATGAGGACTAGTACGGAAAACTTGAACATAGGAGCCGGCATTGATTTGTTCTCTTGAAAGTGTAATTGTCTATTTAAATATCTGGAGAAAGCGGTCTGGCCAATGATTGATTAAGCTGGTAGCAGAGGCTGCTTGAGTGAAGAAGAAGCAGTCCTGGTGAGCCTGCCCGCCCACGCTAAGCGCGATTTCCTGTGGGCAGCCATTTGTGTTGGATTCCTTGGGAGTTTTGTTTTTTTCGGGTGAATCAAGCAAGTCGAAGTTTCATCACGCGAGGAGACACTTCCGGAATTTTAGCACGTACACCCTCTGTTGTACCTTGGGCCTATGTAGTCTTCCTCTCACAATGAAAAGTTGAACCAATATACTGGGATTATTTAGTTTATGACTTTGTGACGCTGCATCCCTCGTTTGAGCTGCAGCAAAAAGTCAGGGTATGTATACGGAAGCCCAGGGGGGACACAATCGTGTCAACACTTTTTGATTTTTCGAAATCCATTTTTCCATAATGTTGATGATGAGACATGTCCCAAGCTGTTAATCGGGATCGCCTGTTTCCAGTAATGATAAATTGATAATCCCCAAACAACACGCACCTCGAGCTTAACAAAGCCTCTCGAGTGAGAGCCCGGAGGGCAGCCCCGCAGGGTCTCTGTCTCACAGAGAGGCTTACCTGCAAATCTTGTTTCGTGGCCTGAGGGCCTCAGGAATATCCGCCTGTACAAGGCTTTTTTCTTCCTATTGCCGGTTTTAAAAGAAACCGTTGGAGAGTTCAAGCAGCCAACCAGGCTCAGGATAGAGCTCATGTGTGCGCTTCCAATCATGTAATTTTGGTGTCAGGGCTCCAGGTATGATGCCCAATCCACCCCTTTGAAGATCCTAACCTGATGGAAAATATTTTTGAGGAGAGAGAGATACCGGGTCATAAGTACATATGGCTTCCTGTATGCTTCTGTACAAATGTAACCCAACACTGGTTACTAAATCTGTTAAGGTCGGTAACAAGATTAACTCCGGTGTTTCTCTACAGTCGTACCAATCATCCTCCAATGTCGAAAAATAAAGCGAAAGTGTGGAAGGGCACCAGAATCACCCTGCTCAAGAAGCTTATCGAGAAACCCGATGGATCCCTATCTTCTGCTATTGCTGCCCAAGCCCTCAAGCGTTATTCAGTCCCAGCTAAACCGCTACAGATCAAGACAGTTCTCCATCTAGCCCGCGGTCGTAATGTGATGCTCCTTGCTGGTACTGGCTTTGGTAAATCGCGAATACCTGAATTGTTTCACGATTTGATCCCTAAGGATTCGAAGGGAGTGGTACTAGTTTTAAACCCCCTGGACGCTCTCGGGGATAATCAAGTCATGGAGAAGACAAACGCTGGGTTCACAGCGATAAATCTCACCAAACTTACATTCAATGCTGAAGAGGCCGTCAAAATTCGGAAAGGCGACTACAACTTTGTATACCTCAGTCCAGAAATATTTCTTAACAGCAAACTCTTTTCACGGGTCTACTTCAGTTCTGAATTCCAATCGAGGCTGGCTCTGGTGGTGGTTGATGAGGCACACCTCATCTATCATTGGGGAATGGTGAAATCTACTCGAGGAAGGAAATCATCCTCAGCACTTGGACGTCACGAGGATCGCGGTGTCTTTCGACCGTCTTACGGCAACCTTGGCGGCCATCTCCTAGCTCGGAACGCGGCTCCGATCTTACTCCTGTCTGCGACGTGCCCGCCTGCAGCTGTTCAAGCCATCCAAAGGAACTTGAAGTTGGATGCATCAACATTAGTCACACTGAAGGGAGAACTCACACGCCCAGAGATTCGAATTATTCGGGTCTACATGAAGTCATCTCTTACATCCTGTGCCGATTTATCTAATATCTACGGTCCAGCTTCTGTAACCCCCAACAATAAAATTGTGCCAACCCTCATATACAGTGGGACTCGACGGAGAACCGGTCAAGTTCTAGAAGTCCTGGCCGGGGCTCGTGGCACACCAGAAGAGGTGTCAAACGCTCGCTCGACTTGGGCCCGACGCTATCACTCCTGTACTGGCGACCGCGACAAGGAAGATGCAGCGCAAGATTTTGCGGCAGGGATATTCCCAGTTGTGTCATGTACAATGGCACTGGGCCTTGGACAAAACTGGACCCGGGTGCGTATGGTTGTACACATGGGTCGAGGGGATCCGTCTGCCATATGTCAAATGATGGGTCGATGTGGTAGGGACGGCAAACCTGGCCTGGCGGTCTTGTTTGTTGAGAAAACTCGAGTCAATGGGAAGAACAATATATCACAGTTTGCTCACAGTGGGATCCAAACTAGTGACGACCGGATGGATGCCCTAGCCGTGACACCAGTCTGTCTTCGGGTGGCATTTGCAATTGACAACCGGTATGTACACTTGCCTTGATTGTTTTGTTTTCTTGTCCACTTTTTCAGATGACTGACAGGGTTGATGGGTTTTTAGTTATGGATACATACCATTGTCAACCAGTGATGAAAACTACATGGTGGAGAAAGCTCGCGAGGCAGAAGAGAACTTTGCTTGTTGTCGATGTTCAAATTGCATGCCCACCCAGGCAGAAATCCTGTTCGAATCCTTATCAAGTATGACTTTAGACAATGTGGACACAATGATTCTCGAGGACATCTCTGTTGAAAGCTCTTGGGTGAAAAAGAAGAAACCTGTCACCCATCGCCGCACCCCAACAACCCCAATGGAAGATGCGGATACAGTGGAGATTCGAGAGCAATTGTTGCAGGTGGGGACCACATGGATAGCAGGAAAGCTATCGGCACGCAGCTTCATCCAACCCGGGGATATATTTGGAAAAGATCAAATAGATTGCATGATTGAGCGGATTGAAGAGCTCAGGACCGAAGAAGATGTTAGAGTTGCTGTAGGTGGACACTACATAGAAGGCCTAGTTACCCAGTTGCACAAGGTCATCGAGATTTTCAAGGACAGCGACATTTACCAAAATCATTATGCCCGAGTTCGAGCAGAAGAAGAAGACAAGTATGTTAAAAAAACACCATATAAACATTTGGACGACAATCAGAAGAAAAGGAAGGCCGAGTTGAAATTGATTGATGCAGCTATCAAATCAAAAAAGATTAATCCATCTAAACATGCTGAGGTCTAAAGTTCGTTTCCCGAGTGGTTTCCTTCTTCAATGTCTGCATTCTCTTCATCTACATCTGGCCCGGGTTTTGGGAAGTGCAATCGTAATCGAGATAGATCGTGATCCTTTGATCTGATTTCATTTCCAATTTTAAGCAGTCCGGCTTTATAAGAATCTTGAACCTTACCAGCAGAGTCTTGTTTTTTCTCATTCATGTTCACCCTATTGGGTGCTGAAGGAATGTTATGAATTTCAACAGAGATATCTCCTCTGCCTAAGTCTAGGATGTCCTTGTTATTCGCAAACTGAGTGAACCGTTGAAGGGATTGCAGTTTAAGCTTGATCTTGGTACTCTGATGTACTCGCTTCTTACCACTGTCTATCTGAAGCGAATGGAACATGGCCCGTAACTGAACATGCACGAAATTATGTCAGCAACAACCTAACAAACAAAAGCAACTCAAAATGACAGTGAAATACTTACCAAGATTACATTCATTGAGAACAAGTTTTTCAACCGCTGGACATCGGTCCCAATGCCCCCCGATTGAAAAAGAACTTTAGCCAGTAGTTATTGTTTTCCAAGAAAAAGTCCTTGGACACAAAGTGACCAGGACGACCCGATGGTGAGAATAGCATGTTGTGTCGCAAGAATTTGCTGATCGGGGGCGGTAGTATTTCAGTCAACAAAAGCACCAGGCGAGGCAGATATGATGCGTAATGAGTCAAACCCTTAAGTGACTGGGACATCACAGACCACATCTTCCATATGTTGATAAGGCGGCCGATGTCCCCTGCTTTCATGGCATTGTTCCCCTCCACAACGGATGAGAACTCCTGCATGCGCACAAGGACATTGTGTAGCTTGGGCAAGCCCTTTTGAGCCGCTTGATGGCGAGCGAGGGGGGAGCAAAAGCGTTCATAACATTCAAGAATTATGGCATTCCAGCGGTCAGTTGGAATCTCTTGAGGCTCAAGGTCTACTTTTTGCTTCTCTGTTTTCATCACCACACTGAACCCATGAGTTAAACAAGGAATCAGTGGAACTAGCTGGTTTAACAATTAACCACAAAGAGAACACATACCGTAGACAATGGAAAAGGGTAGCATGGTGCACAAGCTCCATTTGCTGCAGCATCAATGTGAAGTCCTTCTTTTGAATGACCTGCTCATGTGGTATTCCAATTGCTTCGAGATACTGCCAAACACCCAAATTATTTTCACTAGAGGGGTCGCCAAAGTGTGACGTCAAGATCGCCTGGGCAATGTTCCATATTGTATGAGAACCCCCGAGTTGAAAGATGATGTTATTCAATGAATGCTCTGGGTAGCTGCTTGGGTAACGTATGTCCCTAATTGAGTTGAAGTTCTGAATGGTTGCTAGATCACCATCCATGGGCTGTAAGCGAGAAGAGAACTCCGTGGCGGTAAGACCAGATTGTCGCTGGACACTTGCCAAAACTTGACCGATCCCCTCCGCCGAGTTGTCGGACTCTTCCATCAGCTTGAGCATGAATACTGTAGGCACTTCACAACTGATCTGCTCCAACACCGGTGGTTTTGTGCTAATTGCGCCATCAGTCTTTGAAGGGTGACCGATATACTCCTTCATTACTGTAGCGATTTGACTTGTCCATACATGATAGTAATGATCTTCAGCCTCCGTTGTTTGCATGAACAATGTTGGGTTAATTGACATCGTAGGAACATTCTTTATGGCATCTTGGTAAGCAGCCATGTTGAGCTGAGACTCCTCCAGAGTATCTAACAGTGACTTGGTTGGCAGATGAACATATCCCCAAGTGCCGTGGAACATCATGGTGCGATGACCTACTGAGCCCATGTGAACCCTTTCCTCTATGTCTAAATTGTCAAGGCAGATGAATGGTCCAACATTTGGAGACCTAGAGAGCGACATAACCTGCTGTACATCCCCCTCTGCATGCCTGGTCAGTGTCTTCATTACCTCAATCGCTGTCTGTCTTGAGCTGACCAGGCCGAGCTTGTGCAGGTATTCGTTGACCCTCTCTGACACACCACATGGTATGAAGCGAAGTGCGTTTTGCAGCTGTAGCCCGTTGTGCCGACGATTTCGGGTAAAGAGAAGCTGGGAACAGATCGTTGCAGCCAGCTTAAAAACAGATATCTAAATCAACAAGTGTCCGAGTTTTTGAATGTAATACCAGAATGGCTAACATGATGATATCGCTGTTCAGCTTGATCTTCATTCCAAGGGATTGGGGTGTATGCAACACCATCTCTCTCCAATAGCTGTGCTTCAAAGGTGTCGCTGGGATGCGTGTTGGATTCCTGAGGACCCTCAATCACCACATCTTCTTCATTGCCGGCCGGATACTCGCCATTCCTGAGCATCCCAACAAGGATTCCATACAAGAATGGCATCTCTTCTGTCACAAGTTTCTCCTCTCGCCTGGCCTTGGCTGCCTCGGAAAAAAACTCCGGCTTGACCGACTGAGAACTTTGCCAGTGACCGGTTGATGATCGGGCCAGGCGCACATTGTTTCGCATCAGGATGTTGATGGCCTGTCAAAAATGTTAAAAAGGTTACATTCAATACATATTGCACAACTAATTGCGGACTCACTTCCTTCTGGATGAACTGAGTCCACCAGCCTTCTCCTACATCAGTTGAGTTGAATTTATCTCGAATAGATTCAACCAGATGCAATGTGCCCTCATACCCAGTCTTTGTCGCCCAATAGCGGCGTCGCGAGGCCAAGTCGGGGTTTTTGGAGCTGAGGAAGTGCGAAATAAACTCCTTTGGAGTCATGTTGAGGGCCTGGAGGTGCTTACATATCTCCAGAGCCTTGGCAGTGTCTGAGGGTTTATCTTTTGTAAGGATTTTTGCGGGTGATTCTTCACTTGACATAGCTGTGTCTGGGGTCTGTGCTGGTACTGACAAGCTTATAAGTTGTGGTGAAGTGCAAAGTGTTATGTGCGATGATTTCAGGAGAGACTCGAAGCCGACTCATTTGCCCATAGGCCAGGTTAACTTTGTGTAACATCAAGTTATCTCCAAAATCATCAAAACCAGCTATCTCCATAAATACAGCTACACTCCTGCATACAGGAGGCTAGTATTCGAACTCATAAGAATGACAGTGAAATACTGATTTCATTGCCAGTATCAGCTAAAGCGAGTGTCAAAAAGACCACTCTTTTCAAGACTGACACACCTCGTGAAACGGCCGATATGATGATTTATCTTGCACCAAAATGATGGCGAGATTCTGGCCGTCTCAAGGGTACCGGGGGCGGAGGCCAGGTGGCTTTGGAAGTGACTGATTTTGAGACTTCAAGTTATCCACCCGCAAAAGAGTAGAGCTGTACGCGAGGCCCTCATGCTGCAAATCATGGATTCCATGCAAGTCCCTCCCTGACGGGAGGTCGCACTTCGTGCGAGGCGCTTCGCGCCCCTGCCTGCCGGTAGGCGAGGGGACTTGTGTTAAGTTCGCACGCACCTCCTCCTGCAAATTGACATTTTGAGACATGAAACCGGATGTGTTTCAGACACCTCTATCTGGGAAAATGTCATGGTTTCTTGCCCAGTGAGCAAAGGTCTTGGAGTCTTTTCTCGAGACTGCTGCTGCATACCATCCTCCGAACACTCAATCTTAAAGCCTCACAGACCCCATCAATGGATGATCATCAAATTGTTGTTACCGACTACTCTGAGTTTTCAGGCAGCGATGATGAGACAGACTCATCTGACACACAGGATGCAAGCAACAATAGTGACGCTTTGAATGAAAATGAAGACCCATGGAAAATTATTATTACCGACCTCCTATCCCAGGGCCATAAAGGTCCAGCAATTGTTACTATACTCCGCAACACTCACGACTACGAAATTTCGCTCTCCACACTTGCCCGCAAGCGGAAAATGTGGGGTCTTCAACTGCGTGACCTGCCCAAGAAACCCAGACCTTCCATCCGGGCATCAATCGTCTCCTCGCACTCCAAAGGTCTCCAACTGAAAGAAATCCAAGCTAGACTTCTTAAGGAAACCGGAGTCGACGTCTCTGTCCGAACAATAAAAAGATATATGAGTCAATTGAATCTCAAGCAGCTTGCCAACGATCTGGCACAAGGGATCGTTACTCTTCAACAAGTGAATGATTGCATCAGCCATATCCGAACCAACCTTCTCTCAACAGCCAGTGGGTATCGAGTAGTAACCAAAATTCTCAAGACATACTATTCCATCCGATTGCCAAGGTCAGTGACATTCCAGTGCCATGTGGTACTATTTATTTCATCATTCTGATCTTCAATTAATCCTTTAAAACTATTCTTCAGAACTGTTGTTTACAACATCCTTCAAGAAATTGAACCAGATGCAGTTGAGGCTCGCCGGCGTCAAGCATGCAAACGTCGTGTTTACCGCACTCACGGGCCAAACCATATATGGTCCTGTGATGGACATGACAAGTTGAAAAGATTTGGTCTCTGTATCTACGGGTTCATTGATGCTTGGTCCCGTAAAATTCTAGGGATGTTTGTACATGTTACAAACAATGATCCTCGGCACATTGGTGTCTACTTTCTCCAACTTGTCAAAGCTGCTGGTGGAATACCACTGAAGGTGACTACAGACTATGGCACCGAAACAATTGACATGTCTGCTTTGCAAATGATGCTCTCATACCAAAATACACCAGCACTCACAATGGAAGAAGCAAAACTTCGAATGCATTTTACTAAATCAACTCATAACCAGAAAATCGAATCTCTTTGGTCACAATTAATGAAGCAGCATAACCAAGCAATTATCAACAACATCATGCCTGAAATTGAAAATGGAAACTACGATGCAAATGATTACCTTCAAAAGTATGTCATGTACTTTTCAAATTTGCTGAGCATAGCTAATGCCCATTGCAGGAACTTGTTCCTCTTCCTTTGGTTGCCTGTCCTCCAAACCAGCTTAGATCGCTGGGTTCACTTGAAAAATGAGACTCGAAAGCGGAAGGACCGTCGGATTGAGCTCCCAACTGGCTTTGCACCCGAATTTCTATATGGTACCCCTGAGCACTTTGGTACCGAAGATCATCTGGTTCCAATCCCTGTCAGTAGAATTGAAAACCTCCTACTTGAACACTATCCCGACCGTGAGGAGATGTTCAGGCAAACCCCACCTTGGTTTCACGAGACTGCAATGTCCATCATGAACAGAATTGGATTACGCTTCTCCAACATAACAATCGGAACTGTGTGGTTAGCCTTTTATGAGATGCTGCCACACATCAGACAACAATTCCCTCCAGGCTCTTTTCCCACTGAAGAACTAGAAACCCATGATCTCGCGGCTTTTCCAACTTCAGAACAAGACACCAATGACACCCTTACCAATTCAAATGAATGACACTTAAAACACATTCGACTTAAGACAATTCCATACTTGTTCACTTGTTCACTGGATGGTATTCAGATTTTGTCTATGATTTACTGTTTTCTCATCTATAAAGCAACCATTTTAATAATATGTCAATTCCACAAAATTGATCTTGAGTAGTCAAAAGGCAATACGAATGCTTAATTTTTTACATAGATCATAGATAGGTTAGTATGACAAGAAGAACAACAAAAAATTGAATGTTCAACTGGACATTAAGGTAAAAAAATACGGCTGGCCCATGTGGCCAACCTGGCACCATGAGTGCCCATCTGAATCCAACTCATACAGACAAACACTCGTTGTATCTTGTCTTCTCAGTCTGGCCAACCATTTATGGAAGGCTTGGTCGAAGTGGGCAGGATACAAGGCCCCATTGCAAGAGCAAGTGAGAGACGGCCAAAGTGTGTGATGACCATACCCTGGATTGTCTAGCCTCCCCGCCAAATATCCAGAGAAGTGGGCCGAGTGTGATTCGGTTGGCACAGCAATGCAAAATATGACAGATAAACCTATTGTAAAATACTCATGAGATTAACTGAGGATGTGCCTACGATCACCGTCTCACAGGAACTAGACCTTCCAAAGGTGATGATCAAGAAGACCTAGAGATCAATGACTTGGCTCGGATGGAATCACTTGTCGAATAATGTCAACAAGAGAATGACAAAGGCTTTGGTTTTGTAAACAGTGATGACGACAAAAGTATTGACTCTGACGAGGCAGATGGTGAACTAGATCAACCCAAGAGGAAATCCAAACGATTGGATCATCAAAACAAATAAACTTGGAAAAGTCAGTCCTGAACTCCAACAATCACCTGTTCCATATTAGACGCCTCCTCCTTTCCATATCGCCTGAACGCAAAGGTTAGGGTTGAAGAAAGTGAAACATCAAGCCTGTCGGATGGATCGGAAGAAGAAACTGACTTGGATCAAGATGAATTTATGGATGCCTCCACGATGCTTGACATTGGTGCTGACAGCGATCACACATTTTCGGATGAGGAAGATGGGAGGAATGCTTCTGAGAATTCGGACCAATTGAGTCAACGCAATAATTCAGAAGTTAGAAATATCAATAGCCTGGTCATTTTTACACATCTCAATATTGAAGAGAAGTCTTTCTTAGCGCTCACCTCGACCCAGTTCCTCTTGAGTCTGAGTTGGTTCATGATTTGCTCGAGATCCTTGACATGTTTTTTGGAAGACTGAGGATGACTCTGGCCGATCTGTGCCTGTTTCTGTCAGAGGTTGACCCAATCCTTGAGGACCTTGAATTGCGCGTTCCAAGAGATCTCATCCTTGTGTTCTTTGGTTGTGAAATGTGAAAGCTCGGTCTTCTATCTCAAGTTACTAGATGACTATGCAAGAGCAAGAGAGATGAATGATCAGTTGATGTCCAGTGTGACAGAGGGATATGTACTCACACGCTCTAGTAGACTTAGCCGAGGAATCTTGACCATGTCAGCAAGGATCTCTTGGGCAAAGCTAGAGATCCTGTGTTGGCTTTTGGGTTGTTCTCATTGGTCGTAGTTGCTGAATTGATAGATAGTGGTGATGGTGGCACCGGTTGAGTCTGTGTGGCAGAGGAATTGAAGAGCTGTGGCTGATGCAGGTGCCAGTTATCCTGTAGATGACTCGCTTTGGATGACCGATGGTGATCCGAATCAGGTCCTCTGATATATGTAGGCCGAAGCAGGATTGGCCAACGTTGATCGGGCTCCAAAGAAGCTACAGACGGACTTACATAATCCTTGCTCAACCTCAAGCCTGATGTATGTACAGTGAACACGTCATCCATCCTCATTCCTCTTTGCTTGACAATTCAACCATTTGCTCCCGATCTGTTCATCTCATCATTGTTTTTCAGCAAAGGTGAGTCATCTGCATCCATTCAGCTAACCCAATAAGACCTAAACCAGTATTCTTCAGAACAAAGCTCCTTTCCCACCCATGCTAAAGATCCTACTCACTGTTTACTATCAAAGATATTGTCTCACACTCGATCCAGCAGTAGCTCATCCGAGATCGTTCCTTTGGATTTCCACAGGCAAGTTTGATCCCTTCTCATGAGGTCCTCTTGATCATCCAATTCACATCTCTGACCAATCTCTAATTGTGATTCTAATCCATCAACCAGTGTGCCCCTTAAGAGATCAACTTTATTGTTTCCAGAATAATCTTGTTGTACTCGGTCAAGTAGAACCTTACTTGAAATTGGTCTCACATTTAGCTCCTTGGGATTGCCACAGGTAGGTTGGATCTCTGATTAAACTGTTCGCTTGATCATTAACCTCAGCTCTCTTACTAATCTCTGACAATCATTCAAACAGACCCACCCATTCGCCCCTGTCAAGATCAACTGAAGTATGACTTTACCTTCCTCTAGTTTACCTACAGGGCCAATTAACCTGTTCGCTGTATCCTTCACCTTGCCTTTCTGACTCATCTCTCATCATTAAACAAACAGACCCACCGGACCGCCTCTGTCAAGATCAAATAAAGTCAGACTTGCTTGTCACCCATCTGCCTTTCATTCTGTTTGCTTCATCAAGAAAATCAGCTCTCTTAATGATCTCTACTGCTTATTCCAACAGACCCACCGCGCCTCCTCTGTCAACTAGATCAACTCAAGTAAGGCTTTGCTGTCACTGATTTGCCTTTAAATCTGTTCGCTTGATCATTAAGCTTATCTCTCTTACTAATCTCTTTTGACTATTCAAACAGACACACCGATCCTCCCAGGTCTCAAGAGCACTTAAGTAAGAATAGTGGCCTTCACCCATCTAAATTCAAATCTGTTCGCTTCATCATCGAAATCATCTCTCTTACTAATCTCTAATGACTGTTCAAACAGACTTACCGATCCACCCCTGTTCAGATCAACTAAAGTCAGGCTTGTTGTTTGTGCACCTACCTTCCAATCGGTTTGCTTCATCATGCAACTGACATCTTTCTAATCTCTAATGATCATTCAAACAGACCTGCCTATCCTACTCTGTCAAGATTGAATACATTATTGGTTCGCCTTTGACTATCTAAGTAAGCTCAACAAATTTTTTACCACCTTGTATTCCAATGTTCTGTCACTCATATGATCTGTGTCTCATTTGGCTGCTAGAGCAATGACCCCAAGCCCTAGCGAGTGCAGCTTGTCAGACCTTGAATCAAGCCTCAAAAGCCTCAGCCTAGCCTCCGAACCAAATGACCAGCCATCGATCAGCCGTGGCTTAGCCTCCGACTCAGATGATGAGCCTCTGATCAACAGAGCTTTTGTGGCTCCCAATACCAGGTCAAGCAATATCTCTTTGCTGGATCGCAAAGATGCTCAAGGCCCCAAGAAAAAAAGGATCCGCAAGAAAACTGCGTGAGTATTCTTTGCGTCTGAAGGAGGCCGATGTTCTGACCCCATGTTTTTTGCTTCCACCCCTTGCTGCAATCCCGCGGGCCCCTCCTGAAATTCTCTGTATGCCTTTATGATGATTCATATCGCTGGATGGCCTATCTAACACTGTGACTGCATTGCCGTAATATGGTATGGCAATACTCTCCGGTGGGTGTATAGTGCTATGAAGGCTTATCATCAAAAAAAGGCTCAACAGAAAAGACCAGGGAGGCGAACCCGTAGGAAGCGTAAGGGAGTGAGATCCCAACTCAGCTCAACCCCACTATCTGGACCACTCTGCAAGACGTCCCGGTCTGCGGAACCTTGTGACCTATTCCCGCAAATAACTTCAGAATATCGACAAATGAAAGAAGAGCGTCGACTTGCTCAAGAGTATTTTAAAGCACACGGAGGATCGGAGCCATCGAAAAAGACAATTTACAAGCGAAAACCAACCCCCCAGGAAATCCAAGATGCCTACGCCTATGTCAACAACAAGGAAACATTTCAGCTTTACGATTATGGTCACATTCGCGCCTTTGATCCCGAAAACCAGGATCAGCTCATAGCCGACATCCACTTTACCGATCTGCAAACTATTAGCGAGACCAAAAAGGCGGATCTAGAATTTTTATGCTTGTTTCTCCATGAGGCCAAACGGTTCGTTAACCCTGTTAGGTCTCCTGGTCGATCCTGTGGGGGCTGTATGTGGGCTATTGGCTGGAGGAAGTCAATGGCTAAGCTCGAAATTCTGGGAATTTATCAAAATAAGAAGGCAATTGATGCACATCCTGAACTATACGCAAAGCATACCAACGATTCAACTCGTGCCGGGCAAATCCTGTGGAGCATCTTTCATCCGCTTGCAAATGTTGCTGTTGAAGCCAACCAACAATTTATGATTGACCACAACATTCCAGCTTTCTTTGATCGGGCCTTTCCCAATGAGAAAAATGCTTCCCCCGACTCATTCTTTTCCTCCAACTTGACGTTCACATGGAACGGATTTTTCAATCATCCTCACGTTGACGACAAAGACGAACCATCCCTTCCATTTGCCTTCCTCCTATCTCTCCCAATCTGCAAGAAAACTGGACGGCTAGCCTTTGAATCCGATGGCTACGATGTGGAAGAAGGTCCATTTATTTTCCCCGAGTTGGGCTTTGGCTAATTACGGGCCAATGATTAGTGGAATTGTATTAGGGGATAGCCTGAGGGGATGTCAAAACAAGAGGAAAGAAAGGATGAGAATGAAAGAAGCTTGGAAGGAAAAAAAAATAGGCAGAAATCCAGTCGATTCACACATAAACAAGAGGAAAGAATGTATGAGAATGAAAGAAGCTTGGAAGGAAAAAAATTCCGCAGAAATCCAGTCGGTTCACACATCAATGTTTGATGAACAAGTCTACTAATCGGTATGATTGCACATGAGCGAGCTTACTTCAGACACATGTCGCATTTGGATCAGAAATGACATACCTCACAACTCATTGCTGGTATTTTCTGGTGCTCCATCCTGTGTTGTTGAGATAGAGTTGTTGCCAGCAAGGAGTTCTTCAGCATTAGGAAGGGATGTCGAAGGAGCAGTGCCCAGGAGATGGGCAAGGGATTGTGGGTGTCTTGTTGCAGGCGGGTGTTGAATAATGATATCCGGACTGGGGACTAAACGAGGTGCTGTAACATGTGTTTCGGTTGAACAAGCCATGTTTGCTGAGGGTTGGCCGGTTTCTGGTAGATGTACAGAGACTCCCTTTCGCCAGCGGAGGTCCACCGGTTGGCTAAATCCCAGGGAAGTGCAAACAGTGAAACATTTGTGATTGGTAATGAATTGCTTGATTCCTTTCAATGAGTTGTTTCCATCTGCCCAACGCCTGTAGCATGTTTTTTTGATGATGTCAATAACCAGCCGCCCAAGTTCTACTATCAGCTGCAATGTTAAAGCTCACGAGTTATCCAGGTCGATGATTTGGGGGTCAGTAAGTATTGGACCAACTCCCTGGAGGTCACAGACAAGGCTTTGGCCTTGGGAATGTAGGTAAGACCAGTGCGTGAAAGCGTTCATGAGCCAAAACAATTGTTCATCCATTCCGATTTGGTTCAGGTTGACATTGAAATTGACGTTGCTTGAATATTTGACATAGGGGCCGATAAGTCTTTTCTCAAGAAAATAAACCTTGTTTGGCCACTCTGGGTCACCTGTGATGACAACTGCATGTCGAACAAGCTGAGGAGGCAAGGGGTCAGTTGGTCTTCAGGCCAAATTGTATATTGGAGGTATGTGGTTTGCCCACCTGGATCCCACTTCCCTTCTTTTTCAATGCCCAGCTAAGACGCTGGCAATTTTCCAAGGCCTTCTTAAATTCTTGAAGTAGCAGCCCACAGGCTTCATGCATCAAGGCATCGGTGGCGTGGGGGTTTAGGGTTGGAGTAATGTCGTTTATCCTCACCTTGGCCACCCACTCCGTTATCTTCTCGGTCCCATCTTCGTCAATTACTTTCACCTGGGCAGGGTAAGCTATCCGCATGCTCCCCTGACCAATCTTATTCTTTTCTTCCTCATCGTGGACCCTGAGAGTTATGGGATGGCTAGTAGCCCGGAGGTGTTGGAGGCCACGAAGCATCACTCGCTGTGAGCTTGCTGGAATCGGATCAATATTGCTGGTGTGGAAAACCATTCGCTGGCCAACGGTCCATCCCTCAGGATTGATCTTGATGGAGTACGACACCGGTTGCCCAAGACAAGCAAGCTTTTGTGAAAGGTTTCCTTCTCCTCTCACTACCGTTCCTGTGTGAAAAGTATGAATCTTGATTTTAGTATTGGATCCATGCATATGACTTTCATTGTGAGAAACCTACCGGCAACTCCTCCAAGGGCCCAAGCTGAGGGGTTTGAACTGGATTTTGATGGGTGTGTGACAGCCTTTGATGCAGAGCGTAAAACACGACGCTCAGTTGGTGCCGAGGTCGGATAGTATGAAGTATCTGTACGAAGATTTGTGGCACAGTCTTCAATCGGGTTTTCGTACATAAGGTCAATGGCAACTGGCTTTTTGAGAGTTGAAGGCTTGGCCAAGTCAGTTAAGATGTCAAGATCCCGAATCCGGGTGAGTCCAACTTGAAGGTGAGTACAATCCTCTGGGTTGGTCGCAAGGGTCAATACTTTACCTTTGTTCAGGAGCTCGGCAGAGAAGAATTCCCATAGTTGTCGGCGGAGGTCATCAAGAAGGCGTGCATTCTTGAGATCGATCTTCACTAGTATCCGGGAAATGCCTGTTTGCTTAGTGATCTTGTTTCCCTGGAGAGTTATCAGACCACAATCAAGGAGACGAATTGATGATTCTTCAGCTGGATCCGGTTGCTTGGTGGTGCTGGTTTTGCGCTTCTTTTCTTTGAGCCTCACGGGTCGCAGGCTTGACTCGTTTCTCAGTTGTCATGCGCTGGAAGTCTGCATAAGTAGGTTGGGCAGTGGATGATCGGGAGGTACTAATTGATGGCTGAGATGAAGGCCGAGTGGTGCTGATTTGGGCGGGATGGGGAGCAGGGTTAGACATGTTGGTGGCTGGATGGGAAGCAAACCCCGGATTGGACTGATTTTCAGCTTGGTGACGGCGATTGGACAAGCTGCTAAGAGAAGACTGGTGTTGGTGGGTGGCAGGAGGGTCCAAGCGGGGGGGAACTGGGGTTGGCTGGTTGCTGAAGAATAACATCATCTTGTCCACGTTCATTCCAGAAGCCTTTATACACTCGAAGCAGAAATCACCAAATGTACCGCGATCAGACCAAGTGTTGCACTTCGTACAGAGTGACATGACAGGGAGGCTCGAAAAACCCTATTAAAAGTGTGGCAGGATGTGATTGATTGATAGTATATGAGCTAAGCTTTTTGGGTGGTCTGGATTGGGGGCGCTGGCCATCGGAGGGAACACACTTGGCCATCCTTTATGTAGGGCCAGGCCAACAGCACACCCCAGGTGGGGAATGAATTTTCGATCCCCTTGACATCCCAATCAAGGTCTTCCCGGCGGTTTGGGAGGCAGGCTTGCTTGCATCTGCTGATAGAAACCGGTTGTGGATATTAATTATGTACAACTCAATCCACTCAAGTTTCTTCCCTTTAACAGCCTTTGAAACCAATAGGGTCTGTTTGCATCTGGTACTGACCCCTTGCGTGGCACCAAGTTAGTTCCACATGTGTTTTACATTATCAATGGGTATTAAGGGCATGACTTTTGGGCATCATGTGTTTTAGGGGGCAGGATCAATTTCGGTGAAACGCCAGTTTACAGGAGGAGGTGCATGCTGTTTGGGGAATGTCAATTTATCATTACTGGAAACAGGCGATCCCGATTGACAGCTTGGGACATGTCTCATCATCAACATTATGGAAAAATGGATTTCGAAAAATCAAAAAGTGTTGACACGATTGTGTCCCCCCTGGGCTTCCGTATAAATATGTAATCCTGCCAATGAGTATTACGGATGTCGCTTATGAACCCAACAAGCTGCTATTTCGAATGGCTCTGGTTTCATACATGCATAGTGAAGGTTTTCCTCTTCAGATGGACTTTGGGATAAAAGAAAATGGGATGTTGTATATACATAGGCATGTCTTTCCAGCTAGGACCCCGAGTAGTTGCTCTTGAAATTTATTACATTTCCTCCAATCAGAGATTGAATGACAAATCAGAAGGCATCTTGATAAGAATTCAGTACTAAAATAGAATAAGTAGGGTCTCTTTTGGATCTGGAACCACACAGAGTAGCAAGGCTCTCTCAGTAGGCCTGTTCAAATTTCTCTCTTGCACTTGGTCCTCTTTCACTTCTCTCTTTCATTATCATTCATCAATTCAGATCTAGATTATACATTCAAAAAAGTCTTTCTCCCCCAGACATCATAGACTATAGTCTGATTGTAAGCATCAGTGATGAGCCCTGACCCTGCTCTGTGTAGTCATTGAACCCTGGTATCAAGGGTTTGCCTTGTCTGTAGACTTCCTCTTGAGTCTTATCTTCTTGTGTGTGATGGTGAATGATCAATGTTATGCTCAATTTAATGTCACAAGTTTCTAGTTTTTTCATTTTTTCATCTTTCATTTCTTTACATATTGTTCTAAAAATCTCTCCCTTTCTGTACATACCTGGAGATCTTAATGTGGCTAGCTACAAGAAACCAGAAACCTATTGGTTCTCACCTTTTTGAGCCATTCTAGCAAGTCAAGGTCTCACTTCCCTCTTTCTCCTTGTTGGCCCTGTTGTCTCAGCGGAAACTTCAATCCTGAAGTGCCTTATTTCACCACAGAATTTGAAGCTGGTCCTTGCTCACAGATGACTTGTGGCCAAATGTTACACTAGCAAAATCGACAATCAGAAAATCAATATTTTGTACACATTTTCAGGTGCTTGATTTGTTTTTCCTTCAAATCAAAATTATAAAGAACCATCACAAAAGCTATTTTTCTCAGTTTTAAAAACCTTTTGCTGTGAGGTGTGAAAGAAAACTGAAAGTGATTTTAGGTGTTCCTGTTGGGTTCTAGAAGTTGACTCTCCAAAGTAGACAATTGTGTTTTCTGTGCTGTGATAATCAACAGTCAAATCCGCACAAGCAAGCCCGAGAGTCCAAGGGGGCCCCGCAGTATGCAATATGCACTACCTCGCTGGCTGAGTCGGGGGAGTCCCTTTGCGCGCTTTTGGCCGTTTGGGTCACTGTGTATGCTATGTACGCAGTATGGGTGAGTTGGGTTCATTTGCAATCCGATTGGTGATTTCAGTCTGCTCGTCCATTGTTCCTTGCTGACTTCTTGATTGGTCAATGCTTCCTCGAAAGCTAAAAGGGGTTCAAGCGTAGCAGCTCCTGAGGTTCTCCATATCCGGAAGCGTCCAACTTGACAGGACAGTCGATTAAAACCATCATCGTCCTACTCCTTGCTGTCGACCCCAACCTCATTTCCCAATTTTAGACGAGTCCGAACCCTTCTTGACCATCTACCTTTCACCGCCAGTTTTTTCGATTTCCAGTCACTCAAACATGGCGAAAGCTTCAGCAAAAACCCCTGCTCCGCGCCGATCTGCCCGTCTGTCGAATTGTCTTACCAAGACTCCACCTACCAGAAAGGACCTCGACCCAGAGTTCACTGAACCTAGCAGTGTTGAATCCTGCGATCTCAAGACTACCTCCAAGAATAAAAGGAAACGCCCCGTCGACAATGAGGTACCAAGATCCGTAGCCCAGGGCTCCAAAGCCAAAACGGCTCGCCGTGGCCATTCATTGTACGCCACACGATATTCGATATTTACTTTACCTGTCTTGTCACTGATCACTCCATCGCATTTTCTTAATTGATTTTTTTTTGGGTCATATGTACAGTCCCATGAAGGCTGCCAAGGACGAGCAGCCGACTCGGGTTGCCAAACGCACTAAATCTGTATCATCCCACTACTTTCAAGCTGACAAGTCAGAAACCGCAAAAGTGGGCAAGAGCTCTGAGCCTCTGAAAGACGCGGCAGACAGAGATTCTTCTGACGAAAGCGATGCGAAGATTACCAGCAAAATCATCACAGCCAAGAATAAGGGAAAAGCTCCCCAAACCGAGTCTCAAGCACACCACGACCCCGCTAGCGATCATACAAAGATTGCCGATCCGGTACCTGCATGGAAAAAGGAATTGATCTCTTCCATGGAACATGAGAAAGCGACATCCCACACCCAGACCGCCAATACCTCCAAGTCTAAGGGGAAAGGAAAAGCGCGTCAAATCGATACTACATCCGAAGAGGAGAGCGAAAGTGATGATCAAATCGTCTTAGCACGTCCACGCCCCAACGGTAGAAAGTCGGCTACCCTCGTTCCAAACCCGTAGAAAGCGATGAGGACCCCTTGGAGATAGAGACAGAAATGGTCAAAGCTGCGATCGAGCTTTCAAAGGAAGAATCCAAGTCAACTGCTCCAAATTCTACCTCCGCCTCTCGTCCAATACGCTCCAGTTCCACCAAGGTGACAACATCCAAGCATCGAAACATGCTAGCAGAGATTGACAAGGAAGATGATCAAGACTCGGATTTTGAAGTCAAGTTTGACCAAGACAACCGCTCTTCCCTTTCGACGCTCGACTCAGACTCTGATAGCAGCGAAGAAAGTGACAGTGATGCCGATATCCCTGGTCATCAACCTACGAAGTCTGCTCAGACTACAGTTGCCCCCAAAATTCGACGAACCCGTCGCTCTGTCAAGATCCCCAAACACTTGACGTGGTGGCAAAGAAATCAGATGAAACTCGAGGCCCATCATCCGGAATTGATCAATGTCTGGGGGGATCTTAGTCAGAAGGTCGAAGTGGTTCAACCTTCGAAAGCTGAACAACCTGATGGTCTTGAGTTGACGCTATTACCATTTCAGCTGGAAGGATTGTACTGGATGAAAAAGCAAGAAACCGGGCCTTGGTCTGGCGGAGTACTTGCCGATGAAATGGGCATGGGCAAAACGATTCAAACAATTGCACTGATCCTGTCGGATCGAGTTCCCGGCCATCGAAAACAGACATTAGTCATCGCGCCTACCGTTGCCATCATGCAATGGCGTAACGAGATTGAGAAATTTGCCAAGGGTCTCACCGTGAACGTTTGGCATGGTGGAAACCGTTCGAATGCCCAAGAGGAGATGGAAAACTTCGATGTCGTCTTGACTTCGTTTGCCGTCTTGGAATCTGCCTTCAGAAGACAAAACTCAGGTTTCCGGCGCAAGGGACAAATTATCAAGGAATCGTCTTTACTCCATCAGATCAATTGGCACCGTGTTATTCTAGACGAAGCCCATAATATCAAGGATCGATCCTGTAATACCGCCAAGGGAGCTTTTGAGTTGAAGGCCACATACAGATGGTGCTTGAGTGGAACACCACTCCAAAATCGAGTCGGTGAACTTTACAGTTTGATCAGATTCCTAGGTGCCGACCCGTTCAGCTACTACTTTTGTAAACTTTGTGATTGCAAAAGTTTACATTGGAGCTTCTCGGACCGAAGGTCTTGCGATCAGTTGAGTGCATTCCTCTTCTCTACTGTTTGTGTTTTTCCAAGCAAATGGCAAGTTAGTTAATTATCTTTTTTTTTTTCGCAGATGCAAGCATTCACCCATGCAGCACGTTTGTTTCTGGAACAACGAAATCTTAAAGCCCGTTCAAAAGTATGGCGCGTCCGTCGTTGGCAGTCATGGTCACACCGCATTCAACAAATTGAAAGTATTGCTCGATCGAATGATGCTTCGACGAACCAAATTGGAAAGGGCTGATGACTTAGGGTTACCACCCAGAGCTGTTTTAGTCAGACGTGATTATTTGTACGTGAACTTGACGTCACTTTCTTCCACAGTCCCTCATCTTGTACCTTCTAACCATCAAATACCCAATATTTTTTTCTGTCATTTAGCACTGAAGAAGAGGAAGAGCTCTATTCAAGCTTGTACAGTGACGTGACACGCAAGTTCAGTACGTACGCTGATGCTGGCACAGTGTACGCTTAATCTTTCTTCGTTTCCTTGCAACAAAATATTTGTTTGACTTCAGTTGACATTCATCATTTCTTGCTCCACTACAAAATTCACCCATTTTCCAGACTGAACAACTACGGGAACATCTTTCAGTTGATCACCCGGATGCGACAGATGTCAAATCACCCTGACCTTGTCCTAAAATCTCGCGCTGCCCAGGCAGCATTCAAAACCATCGGCGATGCAAACGCGCCCAACACAGACCTTAATCAATTGACTTCAATACAAACATGTCGTATATGTCTCGACGAAGCAGAAGATGCAATCATTAGTAAATGTCGACACATGTGAGTAGTTGAGATCTCGACATCTACTCTTTGTACCTTATTTAGTTTTGGGTACTTCGAGACTCCCCGGAAAACAATCTGATCCCCATGCTTCAATTCATTAGATTTTGTCGCGAATGTATTCGACAATATCTAGAAACGGCTACCGAGCAGGAGCCCGAGTGTCCAGTTTGTCATCTACCAATTACCATCGATCTGTCCCAGGATGCCCTGGAAGACGAAAATATGGGCTCTAAAGCCAGACAAGGCGTCCTAGACCGTTTAGATCCTGGCAAGTGGAGAACTAGCACCAAGATTGAGGCTCTAGTAGAAGAATTGAGTAAACTCAATCAATCCGATCATACGTATGTCAATTCCATTCTCTTGAAGTTGACAGACTGTCTCATGCTGACGCCCGTTTTGTTCCTAATTAATAACTTGATTCATTCAACAGAATCAAGTCCATAGTATTTTCACAATTCACAGTATTTTTAGATCTAATCGAAAGAAGATTACAATTGGCAGGATTCAAATTGGCCAGATTGCAAGGAAACATGACGCCTGAAGCAAGGAACCGAACGATCCAATACTTCATGAACAACAACGATGTCCAAGTATTTTTAGTATCACTTAAAGCCGGCGGTGTCGCCCTCAATCTTACCGAGGCTTCCAGAGTTTTCATTATGGATCCTTGGTGCGTCGCATTTCCAAACGGTTTAAATCGATGTACAGCGAACTGACCTCTTTGTATCGTGTTTTTTTTATTAACCTCAACTAGGTGGAACCCAGCCGTTGAGCTCCAAGCTATGGACCGGTAAGCACTGCAAGCATGCATACGTCTACAATTCCGTTTCAGAGTGCTTGAATTAACCTTTTTCTCTTTGTTTGAATCCATTTGATGCCCAGAATTCATCGTCTAGGTCAACACCGGCCGGTCGTGGTGACCAGGTTGATCATCGAAAATAGCATCGAGTCTAGAATCGTCGAGTTACAAAAGAAGAAGGAAGCTATGACAGGAGCGTCAGTCGCCAGTTGTTTTATCTTATCATCTCGTTTTGATCCCACACACTCACTGACATCGCTTTCTGTGTATGATTTGTATGGTTTTTTTAGCGCCTTGGGTGATGATGATCAAGCTTTAGGTAGATTGACACCTGAGGATCTCTCGTTCTTATTCACCCTGTAGATTGGTTGAGCCTTCTGGATCAAGGAATGTAGCAAGAACAGACAAGGACTTGTGAATCATTTTAGAATTAGCATCATAAGTAAAATTACAAAGAACAATTTACATATTAACCATCTGGAAAAATTAAAAAAAAAAAGTAAAAAAAAAAATAGAAGAAAAAATAATAGACAATATTAGAACACTGAAAACCAAAAAAGAGTCACAGGGGGAAACAAGTGTTGTGTAGTCCCAATGTTTCCTTTTTGTTTTGTTTTTCAAGGATCAATTTTTCTCAAGTAATCTTTCAAGTACATATCAAGTCAAGTGTATTTCACACCTAATAATAACCTGTTGATCAATCTTAATTTTACTGAGATATTTATGTATGTAGTTGAACTATCTCAGCCACACACTGTATCTTAGAAGAACTACATATTTACTTGTGTTGGATGTAATGTAGTTGATTTGCACACTGCAGAGTACAGCTGCATCAAGCATAAAATTCTTCAGTTATGGTATTCAAAGTTGAAATGCATGAAATCATAGAGTGCATAAATCATATAATCATAAAACATTTTGGCTGGGAAAGCCAAAGCTTACATAATCAGATTACCAAGATCCCCTGCAAACAAGGTTTTAAGATCTTATGATTTATGTGGTTATGATTTTATGAAATTTAACTTTGAAGACCATAAGTGCACATTGTGTTTCTCAAAAAAACCTGGGGCCAACCAACACATGGATAGGAATCTCAATGGTGGGCTGCTGTATTTACATGTCACTGTAGTGTAATGTATTAGGGGGGTTCACGATAGCTATTTTGGCTTATGGCCCCCCCTAAAAAAATTCTTGCTGGCGTGATTTTTTCATTAAATTTTAAGCTAAAAAAACCACCACTAACAACGGCCAGGTTCCATAAAGGTTGCTGGTCATCGATTGTCTGCATATAAAACTCAACCCCCCATACATCCTCTGTTGGAAACACCACCCAGCCCCCTCCGGTCTCGATTACACATCACCTTTCGGCAACACATCAAACGTCCGCTGGTGATATACATAAACACCACCCAGCCTCCTCCGGTCTTGATTACACATCACCTTTTGGCAACAAATCAAACATTCACTTGTGATATACATACAGCCTCGCAATTGGCCCTTCCGGATTTCAACAGTATTGTCCATCAGTCAGGTAAGTTGTTTGGTTGATTCGGTGTAATCTATGTTCTGTTCATTCGTTAATCAATAACAGGGTTTTTTGTGGTGGGGGAAAGGATTTGAAGCAATTTGGTTCTTTCCTGCTCTTCTTGATACTCATAAGGGCAAGACCAAACAGTCGTATATGCTTGTATGCGTGGACATTTGATTGTATAAATGTGTTTGATTTTTGATGAAATAAGAGGAGGAGTATACATAACAATACATTCAAGAAAAAAAAAAACAGGAATACCAAGTATGAATAAATAAGCACCAAAACAAAAGGGATAGCGAGATGGACGAGTAATAAGTTCTCAGCAAGCAAGTTCAGGCTAGACCGCTTCTTACATCGCCTCCTTGTATTCCTCGTCCTCCTCCTCTTCGTCGTTGTTGGTGATCATCATCATCATTGTCTTCTTCTTCTTTGATGTTGGCTCTGATGAACTGCTCAATAGAGGTGCTGACTTTGTGCTTGATTTCACTCAGGATCGTGTCTGTTTATACATACACCTCACCAATCAGTTTTTTTGGATGGATGGATGGATGGATAGGGGTGAGAGGAACAACGGACCCGGGGAGGGGGGGGGACGTACTTTGGGTGATCGGCCGAGGGTTGCCAGTGTGGGTTGAACACCTTTTGTGGGAGGGATGCCGGGAATAATCCTGTAAGTCGATTGAGTGGGTCCCTCCGGGTCCGAGGGTTGCCGGTGTGGGTTGAACACCTTTTGTTGGAGGAATGCCAGTGTATAACCAGAGGCAGGCGGGAGAAATGGCCAAAATTTTAATCAACTGATGGGATCTGATCACCAGTGCGTTCCCATTGCTAAATTTTCCTGGTGCATCAATGCTGGTGTTGTAAACACTCTCTAAAATTTTAAGTTGCGCAGCATGCACAACTGTCCTGGTGGGACGATAAAACTTTTCTGGTGAAAAGCTATCGTGAACCCCCCTATTGTAACAATGATGAAACAGAGACAAGACAAGATGGTATCAGGTGTTTATTTGTATTGTCTCAGAATTTGAATATCCAAAAATACCAGATTTGTGTAGTCTCACTTTCCTGAGACAATACACACATATTGTCTTTGGAAAGTGAGACACATATTTTGTATCATCTCAGAGGGATGATCCCACCCAAAGTGTCTTTGATACACATGATATTTGGCCGTATTGAAGAAAAAAAAGAAGACATTTTTTTGCATTTGTAAATCCAAATCCAAGACAGTGGATTTTCTCACCATCTAAGGAAATACTGATACCAGGTATCAGGCTCAAAATAAAGAGGATACAAGACAATACCAAATAGATGTCTTGTCTCTGTTTCAGTGTTGATTGTAACATAACAGAAATATTGTTCCTTTATTATGGCACAATAGAAGGTGGTGTATCAAGCTCTCAAAGTACCATCAAAAAAAACTTGCAAGAAGTGCTTGATAACTGCCAATCCTACAGGCTCTCTCCATTGAATTTTTAGGCTGTACTGCATTGTAAATCATCAAAAAGTATACATTTTCCATTGTTTTTTTGATAAAAATAACAAAAGAAAGTTTTTGAATTTATCTAGTTCATGACATGTTACACATTTGGGGTCCAAACATCATGGTTTATCATAATTACATCCCACTATTGTCTTTTGTACACCTGTTGCAAGGGCACTGGAAGCAATGTCTACTCTCAATCAATGTAAAGCTTGCAATTCAATCAAAGGTATGCAATATGGGTTGCTGGCATTGCAAGGCATGTGGAACCAATTATTTTGATTATACAGAGGTCCCAGAAACATCTTGTGTATTCAAAGTGGTTTTTAAGGACTGGGGTTACCCCTAACTCACCTTTTGTGAAACATAGCCAAGGCAGCATGACAACCATCGTGAATTGTCTTGGAAGTCAAGGGGCCTTTTGATGATGAAGAACAAGTGATTGCATACATGTAATGAGGAAGGTGTTATATCCTTGACCTGCCAAGAAGTCTTGGTCATTACGGCAGTACAGGAGGGAAGGAATTCAAAAATTTCAAAATCAACATCAGACCACCCATCAGATTACTGGCATTCAAATCAACAGATCTCTACAGCTTTCAATTCTTACACAATGCAGACAGTATTATGCTCAATGGTGTACTTTCAAGATAAAATATGGCTTTTGAACCCAGATATTTAGGTGTGCCCTGATGGTCATGAATAGTACTAAAACCCATTCCAGGGCTATCTGGGAGCACAATTTTACAATAAGCATTGCACACTTTGTATCTACATAGTGGAGGACTTCCCGTCAACTTCTGTGGATCTCCCAGAGTTGGTTTAGAGCGTCAAACTTCAAATTTCCCTGCGAGAATTAAAAGTTTTTGGCTCTAGATCGACTTCTGCGAGGGTCCCAGATCCGACAGGAAGTCCTCCAGTTATCCATAAAACAGTAACTGAACATGTGTGTAGATAATTAGAACAGGAATAATCAATGATCACTAGATGAAAATTGCCATCAGGGTAAGTTGAGCATGCTCATTACATATTCATCTATTCATCCTAGCTCTCCCTGGGTCCACTTAAGGTATTCAAAGTTGAAATGCATGAAATCATAGAGTGCATAAATCATATAATCATAAAACATTTTGGCTGGGAAAGCCAAAGCTTACATAATCAGATTACCAAGATCCCCTGCAAACAAGGTTTTAAGATCTTATGATTTATGCGGTTATGATTTCATGCATTTCAACTTTGAATACCTTAACTGTAGCACACAAAGGGGTCATGGTGGTTGTGTTTCAAAATAGTTGGAGAGATACAGAGGTGCAATGATCAATGTTACTTGATGCCATTTGCCACCTAGTGAGCATTGAATTTTCCTGGTGTTATGTAATTGTCAGAAAACAAAAGAAAAGAGAAGAGGTTGATGGGGGAGTGACTCAACCAGAGTGGTGTAGTTTCAGTTGTCAATGATGTTGTTTTATTGTTGTCATTGTTTACCTGCCAATTTGGAGCAGAAGGTATTCCATGTCATCCCAGCATTGTCAAAGAGAATGAAGTGAACACACAGGTGGGTATGCCAGAGGCTGTGGCCTGTCAGTTCTATCTGTAGCCTATTTGGAGCTTGTGGGCATACACCCCAGGGTCCACCACCAAATCAAAAAAAAACATTTTGGAAGCCACTTAAAGTGGTTTTCCAAATATCATTTTTTTGAACTAATTTGGACAGAGAGTGAGTCACCCTAATATTTTTTGAACTAGTTTAAAAAAAAATTGTGGGACCCACTTGAAGTGGTTCCAAAATACAAAAAATGTTTCTCAAACCAGCCAACTAGAAATATTCCCAAACTGCACTTCTCAACCAAAAAGGTTTTTGAAACCACTCCAAGAGCCTTTCATAGTGCACCCCTGGTGTAGGGTCCAGGTGGCCTGAATTTGACACCCATATGATAGGAATACCAACAGGACATGACATGGGCCAGCTCAAATCAACTGGGTTCTAGTGCCTAGAACCAGCAGCAACATCCTAGATAGAGGCCAACTTGAAGCACAAATTTCAATGCCACTCATTTCACTAATTTCAGTAAACACATGAAAACATAACTTGAAAAAGCACACTTGGGGATTTGTTTACCAATCTGACCAGAAACTCTGTTGCATCTTAATCCTCACACAAAACAAAACAAAACAAGATATTTACATGTGCTATCTGATTGGAAGTGGCAGGTTTTACTTAAGGAGAGTTTCTGTTGATATGTAAGTCTCAATTATACTCAAGATTCTCTATCAGATCTTGTAATATTGGGCCATGTTATTGTTTTCAAGACCTGACAAAAAGCAAAGAATTGAAGCAAGTGGTTTGTGCTGGGGCGCCAAGGTGCGACTGAATTAAACTGGACGCGCAGTATGTAGGCGACGAGGGACGTGACGATTTCGTGTACCATATCGACTTCCACACACCCCGAAAGCTGACGCGAGGGGCTGGTGCTTGGAGAACCGGATAGCTCGGACGGTGAGGTTGGAGACAGATGGCGATCGATCGAATCTTTGGGTGAGTGGATAAGTTTCAAGCAAGTATCTATGTCTCCTCGCTAATCGATTTTTTGGGGGACGATGGTCTTACTTGAAGTTATGGATGTATGTCTGATTAAAAATGACGCGGTTTATCTTGCTCCCCCTTCCCATATTATCTTCTTTGTTGATATAGATACTTACCAACTATCCTATCCAACTTGAACACCCACAGCTCTAATATGGAAGCCGCCTCCATTCGTTACTGGTCGCACACCCTGCTACGTTAAGGGATACACCAGGAGGTTCGCACGTATGTGAAGCATCCTTGAGCCCTACGTTTTCAGGAGAATAGATGTGCACATGCGCTGAATTTGATCCAATTCTGATTATTGACTTCATTGGGTTTTTTTTTGTTAACTCGTTGAATTTCAACTTTTCATCGATTGATAGAATTTTCACATGATCATCGAGGGACTCCAGAAGTATGCAATTCTTTCGTCTTCGGTAGGTTCAATCTTCTGAGGGGCGAAAGAAACTAACAAGCAAACAAAAAAAAAACGAATCCCAATATTGTTCTAGAACCCGGGTGTAGTGGTGACTCTGGTTCCAAATTCTGAATGGCTCAACCTTCCGGGGGCCGATGAATATCCCTCAAGGCTAGTATGGGGAGTTATGTATACTATCGATCCTAATCATGCTGAAGAAGTGCATGCTTATTTGGATGAACGCGAGAAGGATGGCTACGAGTTAATGGAAGTAGATGTCTTTGTGATTAAGGATGGCCAAGAAGAATGTTATGGGAAGGTACGCACTCTCACACATAACTAAATTTCTGAGGAACATCCTTGACTTCTCAACCTTCAAACTTTCTTCGTCCAATTTTTTTCTTTCTGCAGTCGAGTATTTATGTAGGTCATACTACAAACCCGAGTTTCTGTAGACCTACCAAGCTGGAAGAACTGGCCTCTCGAATTCATAAGAGCATCGGACCTTCTGGTCCAAACAAAGCACGTCTCCATTTAATTTTTTTTTTTGACCACGTCCTCAACCAATGGAAATCTATAAAGAAAATCATCATGACTAACCATAGAAAAACCCCTTTGGTTCTGATCTTGATTTTGAAATAGGAGTATCTCTATCATTTGAAACGAGAAGTTGAAGCTTTATGTCCCGAAGCAAACGACCCATACCTCAGCGATCTTGAAGGCTTAGTCAAGCAGCTAGATCAGACATCCTGTTCTTCAGCATTGAGAGATTGAATTTAAATACATGCCTCGTAGTGTCACCCATGTTTGGATAGGATACGAAATACATCAAGTTTTTTCTTTCGATACTTTTTATGCATAGATCAATGCTCAAGCAATCCCAGATTGAGTGGCCATCGATCATGTTTGTACTAGGCTTAGTCCTCCAAGTTATGTGTTCAAGCTGTTTTTCACCTCGTTTTTTTTTTTTTTGGATTTCTTGAAAAGAAAAAAGCGGCTAGTTTCCTTTATCTGTTAAATTATTTTTCTTTGCAAGACCATACACCAACGTGGGAGCGAATGAAACAGACTCGAAAGAAAGAGACACACAGGGGAAGACCAAAAAAGAATAAAGAAGAAGAACAGAGGCATGGAGGAAAAAGGCAAAAAAAAAAAAACATGATGAGAGGCTTATAGAAGATGATTGACCACAAAGACCGATAAAATGACAAATGGAATCAAGCCCAAAGAAAACGAAGACCCAATTTGTATGTATGTAGGAGGTTAAGGGCAAGAATATTCAAATGAAGCAACTGAGATAGTGAGTGATAAGGATGAATGAACTTGGATGGAGAAAGCGAACTATGTCAGGAGAACAAACAACTGAAGCGGATGTAGAAGAAGCAATGGAGGATGGACAAAGTTAAGATAACGAATTAAATACAACACCCGATTTGTCTAGTCTAGTCTCGTCTTTTATTTTTTTATTTCTTGATGTTGTTTTGGAAGCTTTTTTTTGAAAATGAGTGTTGAATAGGAAGGAAGGGTCTTGGGTTTTTTGGAGGAAAAAAAAAGGGGGGGGGGGGTGAACATGTAAGTGGAAGGGGATATTACCCAAACAAATCCTTAGAGGATAGGAAAAGAAACTATATATAAATATAAGGAGAGAATGGAGGAAGAGGCTAACATCAAAAGACAACAATCTGAGAAAAAAAGAAAGATGAGATACGAAGAAGAAGAAAAGGGTTGAGCAGCTATAGTATATACACTAGCGATTGAAGACAACACTTGCATAGTTATGAATGACTGACTGAGAGAAGAAGATATATAATTATATATTGATGATGAATAAAGATATGGTCTATGTTTGGATAGGATGTTTTTTTTTTTTTTTTCAAAAAAAAATATTTTTCTAGTGTGCTGGTTTATTCGATTAATGGTTTGATAGCTAGACACCATTCCGCCAGATCCTTCGGATTCAGACACTCTAAGAAATACGAATTGGTTGACGAATAAATCGCAAAGATATTCTTCCTCTAATGATATCGAGAAGACAGAAAAAAAAAAAATGAAATGAAGGGAAGGGAAGGAAAAAAACAATGAATTGGAGAAAGGCAAAAAAAAAGAAGGTCAGATGTTTGGAATAATCAAACAAAAAAAGAAGAAAAAAAAAGGGAAACGATGAGGAGGAGGAATTGAATTTTCTTACATTCAACATGAGTTCCATTTCGGGATTTGAATCGATGTGTACATTGAGAAGGTTGATCACACCGAGTTCCTCGACCTCATCATTCTTCTCATAAATATATAAATATGGACGCTTCAACACGACTACGAACGCAAGCAAGAAAAGTGGAGGGGATCAGTATATCAAGAAGAGGTGAATGCCAGTCTGATCCTATATTTCGTTGTTTTTTATTTCAAGAAAGGGTCACTGACACCATCGATTAACCCAATCATCTCGCGTCGGATCCCGCAAGACGTTGAGTTTACCCTTCCTGATTGCGTTTTCACTATCAACCGAACCAAAATGAAATACATTTCGTCATTATCAATTGATGATGCATCCATGAAATGGATTTTTAGAGAGTATGATGACAAGAAGGAAAAAGAAAATAGAAGGGACATACTGTCGTGGTATTAGTCTCACTTCAGCCTTTAGTCTCCGATTCTTTGGTGATTCAAACGTCTGTTTTGGTGTCGAGGGGCTTTCAATTGGTTGTTGATCCAGGACAATCAGTTGAGGTTCCTCTAAAAATTTCATCTACAAATTTACAAAGAGACGACAAATCCACGAAGAACAAGAAAAACGTGTCAATTATCAAGACTTCAATTTTTTGTTTTTGATTATATATGTAAATATGATCTGACTTACATTGCCTTTAGGGCCAAATCGCTTTTGCCATAACTCTAAGCTTTTGCCGATTTTGAATAGATCAGCAGCCCCCGGTTCCGGATTCTTAAGCCGCTCATCGAGCTCATTGATGGATTTAAGAGTGAGAGAAGTGACGATAGCTTTGATTCCGTCGACTTCAGTTTTGAGAAGGATCGAGTCCCGGAAGTTGATCCATTCGGTCAACAAACCAAGGCCCCTAGTTTTCCATCCTTTCAGCCTTTCTTCACCATGTACGATTTGGGTTGACCCGTACTGAGTCTCCACAGTTCATCTACTTTGCTGATCATTCATCGGCTTCAAATTTGATCGAGAATAGATAATTCATCTGTTTGAGTCTTCTCTCGATTCGAAAGTAAGCTTAAGATCCCTTCGCCGACTCTCTGATCGCGTCCCTTTGACGACCATCCCGATATCCGTCCTAAACTTGATCGGCTCCACACAGTTCTTGGCCTCGACCTCCCACCGAAGTTCAACCAATACCCTCTGCTCACTTTGGGTGACTCGATCCAAGTAATGAGATTCATGACCACCCGCATCCCAATTGCCCACGTAATCCATCCACGATGTCCCGTCGGCTTCGAAATGGACGACCGGCTTCTTGGAGGCCTTGATGGTGACCCATCTGTCCACCTTCGAACTGTGGATCCGACCCTGGCCATCGAGCAGCCTCACATTGCCCATCTCGACCTTCTCCATCCGTTGCCACCCAAACTGACGACCAGAGTTATGCGTCAATCTGATGGCAAGCTTCCGCTGGAGACCCTGTCTGAGGTAGAACACCCCCGGATCGAGCGCATTCTGTGAGATGATTGTCGTCGACTGATAGTCCCCAAGTGCGGTTAGTTCAAGCATTCTAATCGCACTCGTCACGTCATGCATCTGTTCTACAACAAATTCGGTTTCCGGTTGTCTCATCCGAATTATCGAAGCTGTCGATTGCTGATTAAGAGTGGGACAAGCGGAGTCGGACTGAGGACTGAGGAGTTCCGAGCGGCCGCCATTATCATCAAGCAGTTTCTTTTCTTCAGCCTTTTTCTCATCCTGACGTTCCAGCCGATCCAAATAGCTTGGCATCAATTGTCCGAAGAACTCGATCGGTGCACATCCATGAGCGAGATGGCTCTTCGTTTGCGGGCTCATGACAACCGAGATGGTTTGCTTCAAGACCATCTCTTTCTGATCGCACGGCAAATCAAACGCCTTGGAGCTCCACACATGGTCCTCGGTACCGTCCTTGAGTACACCCGTGATAGATGATGCTCGAAACTGACAATGCACCGACGAAAAGTCCCTCGAAGTCAATCCGACCACTTCATCAATGATGATCTCAAGCGTGATTTTCGCATCATCTACCAATGGACACAAACTTTCATTAACAGCAGGCTGGATAGTGCCGTTGGGAGAGTTGAGTAGAATGCCTGTTCGGGCCGGAGGTGCGATACCGATAGTTCGGATTTGGATGCGACAAGTGCCGATGGAGGCCAAGGTATATGGACTATATAGTGACAGAGTAGTTTTGATGGGCGTGTTGCGGTATATTGGACCTAAAGGAATGAACGCATGGGCAATGAAAGAATATAAGGGTGGCGATGGGTCGTAGAAAGGGTCTTCCCAATTGAAATGCTGAGAGAATTCGGGCTTGTCGATAAAGTTGAACAGGTTCCGCATCTGGCTCACCCTCGTCTCGAGTTTATCGAGCGACCAAAGATAAACCGACCTGTGACGTTTGTCGAGAACCTTGATGCCGATGCAGGGTCTATTTGATCGATCGCTCAATTCGGGATCCGACACATCATCAAATTCACTCAGTCCCTTGATCGATTCTAGGGCCGAGGTGGTGAGCTCAAGGGGCGATCGGTCTACAATGATAAACTGGTAAGTCACCATCTTATTCAATTCTCGACTAATCACGTTGGCTTCCTTGAGGATTACAGCCTTTCTCAGTAGTTTCTCAGCAATCTTCACCCGGTTCAGCTTTTTCCACCGTTTGATTGATATCCGAGCCAGATGGCGCTCTTGTGGTGTCCAATCTTCTAGCTCAAACGCAATGTCTAAGTCGTTGTGGTTGAATTGCATGCTCTTCGTCCTCAGTTTCTTCACCTTCTTTTGAAACATTTGTTTCTGAACCTCTAGTTTTTGTTCCCTGTGCACAAAAAAAAGGAAATCAACAACGGGAATAAGTAAAACGCCACTTTGGAACCGAAGGAAGAATCTATAAGGAGATGGTTACATTTCTTCTTTCAGTTCTTTCATTTGATTTTCGACCTGCTCCTTCTCTAGCCTCAGGTGTTCAGTTTCGATCGCTCCGTTTGATGCAAGATCACTGGGACTGCGTTTCAATTGATTCCCTTCCTCAGGGATCGTGAGCTCCAAATCATTAAAAATCGACCCAGCAACACTCGTATCGTCTGTAACGAACGTGCTACCGGAAGGCGGTCGATGGGAAGCAGATAGAATATCTTCCTCTTCGCTAATGTATGACATCCTACTCTCTCGACCGCTCACGCTAGTTCCAACTTTTCTTTGCATACGCAGCCTGACCACATCATCAAAGAGCTTTTCGAACTCGGCCTCATCCATTTCATCAAGATTGACTTCGGTGCCATTCAGCTTTGAGATCACTGCTTCTCTCCGAGCGTAATGATAGTCTTGTGGGTCGATGACGGAGCTAGAAGTTGGGGTATCGGGTCGATGAAGGGGCGAAGCTGAGCCGTTGTGATCATTGGTCAGAGGCGATCGAAGTTCAGCCCCAGGCTCGCTAGCTGTATTCACCTTCTCTCGGTGTTTACGGACTTCCTCTGGGTGATTGAAACGGAAGATGTGATAATCTCCCAAGATCACTCGATAACCTGATCGAAGTTTCCTGGGTTTGCCCGGGCTCAGGCGTTGTCCGTTGACCATGGTGGGCGCGTTCGGATGAGAAAACAGTTCGACCGCACCCGTCTCCTTGTCAGATTCGAAGTGACAGTGTTGGGCAAGGATATTACGACCACTAAGTCGAATGTCGCATGGCTCAGTAGTTTCAGTATTCCCGACAGTGGTGGTCCCAGGCTTAATTTGGTAGATGAGACATTCAGACATTAAGGGATCCTCGTTGAGATTGACAAGATGGGGCATCCTCTTGGGTGTATAGACACCGACGTTGTTCTTCTCGATGGTGATACCAAGTTCTTCCAATGCTTGCTCTCGCTCTTTCTGTACGACTTCAGTGTTTTTCAATTTCTCTTCCCAGGTCTGAGCAACTTCGCTCATTAGTTTCTCCGATTGCTCCAATTGCTCTTGAAGGGCGGCCTTGGTTACCGTTTTGATCTCTCCGCTCTTGGTTTGATATTTAACGATCTGTTTTTCGGGTGGCAGAGTAACATCATAAGTATCTTCGCTATGACCTCCACTCATCCGAGAGCGCAAAGTGTCCAGTTCTTCTTTCAGTTCTCGTATCAATTTAGCATTAGGGTCCTCGTTCACAACTGCCTTGTTCTTGATCTTCTTGGCCTGGTCGGCATATCGTAAGGTCGAAAGAGTCTCTTCGTAATCGGCCGGACTGATGGCAGCAATCATAGCAGTTTTCGAGTTACCACCGAGACTATCTTTCAACAGCCAGGTCAATACTGAATCTCGATAGGGAACATGGTCGTCGGCTTTCTTCTTTTTTCCAGGGCCGGATGAACCAGCAGTAGCCAGGGCTGAGATAACCTTTCCGAGCGTGGTAAGAGATTTGTTGATCTGAGCACCTTCCTTGAGTCTAACACCGGTAGCACCCGTGCTATTAGCACGCTCCGAGCCTGCCAGATCGACCAGACTGATTCTTGAGACCTTCTCGCCCTCCATACCTGTTGTCGCATCTTTTCGTCGCTGAGTTAGCAAGAGTGTGAAGACCGAATGAGAACGGGAGGAAGTTTCGTTCATGTTTGTTGCCGCCACCGTTCGGGCTTTGTTCCCCTCATCCATCAGAGTTTCGACATCGCTGTAGGATTGGACTGCCAGCTTCGAGAGGTCTTCAACGTAAGGACCTAAGCTGGGATGCTCTCGGACTCTAAGATTCCCCTTGTTCTTCGGATTCAGTAGATCCCGAACACGCTCATTATAAATCTAAATAATTTCGTACGATTGTCAATCAGTATGAATTTTTGAATCAAATCCTTAGTATCCAAGATCGTCGAAACTTACTTCCATAAACGAAACTTCGACCGTATAGCATACCGCTGGGTCAGTCAACTTCTTTTCTTGTATCCGGTCGAACAGAGCTGAACAGGTCAATGGGATGATTCCACGATCTTGACCATAGCCCATCATTGAATATGACTTTCCGGAACCAGTTTGGCCATCTTTGTAAATCAAGAATAGGGAAGAGAGGGGGATCAGTCACCATCAAGATGAGGAGAGGCAGAGGATGAGAAAGACCGACAAGCAAAGATACAAGAGTTATAACCCTCGAAGCTGTTATTAAGTAGGTCGACACCGAGGTCTTCGTATAGGGTCTGTTGCGAAGCGTAGCCAGGCTCATCCTTCGGACAGGCGGACCAATAACTGTGATCGAAAGCGAAACTTTTGGTCTCTTTATCGGTAGCTGATGATTTCGATTTTGATTTTTGGTCACCAGCGCCTGCCTCGTTCTCGGTCGGTGGGGGGTCTAGGAACGTGTGCGTGCCTGCTTCCATCCTGATCAAGCATTTCGCCCCTCTCGCTATCTCTCTCGAGTTCAGTGGCCGACATCTTACCACAACCTAGATTTTTTTGTATCAGAGCTCTATCAGTTTCTGAACCTCTGCTTTTGTTTGAAATTGTTTATATATTGAAAATGGACGATGACCTTAATATTTCCCGACATGACCTCTGGTGGAGAAATTATTTATTATTATTTTTTCTTGGAAGAAGAGCAAGCTATCTTGACTTGATTTCTATTCCTTCCACATTCACGAAGCGCATGAACCTCTGAAAAAAAACCCCGGTCGATCGAAAAAGAGAGCTAGAATAGGCGGAGTATGAGGAGGGAAGAAGGATGTCGGATTGGAGGAGGATGGATGGAAGAACCAATGAGTGTCGTGACCAAATCCGTCGGCTGTTTCTTGGTGGAGGAAGTATTTAAATATGTTTGCTGGCAAAAAAAGAGCGCGATGTGGAACGAGGGCCGGATTTGAAATGGGGGTTTTTTTGAGGTCGGGTTTTCGTATTTCCTTCGAGTGCGAGTTGATGGACTAGATAACCATGAGATGACTCTTTTTTGATTTCCAATTCGTCTAGTGTCAATCTGATGTCTGTCTGTCTTGTGATTGTACGTTCGGTTGGTGAGTTGATTTTAGTTGAGGGTGGTAGTGGTTTTCATGCTATGGACACTGTGATCGGGTTCTACTATCTAGTGAGTTGGGTGTGGTTGTTGGTCGATGTTGGGCTGGGTTGGTGAAGAAGTCGGATGAGAGTGTTTGAAGCTGAGTTGGCTTATTAAGGTTTGCGTTACATAAGCAGTCCCAAAATCAACCCAGGCCGATCAGACGCCTTTCATCATCATCCATGCCTGATGAAACCCACACTCAGTTCAAACATCTATCCTTCAACATCCCAGAACTCTTACTCGTGAGTCAGTGTAAGAGCACCTTAGCCTTCGCTCAAGCGTGCCAAATAAAAATACAATCCACTCCGGCCTCCTCAGTTTATGGCGTATCTCGAGGACGAGGTGACATCACCAGAATCCTCTGAAACCTGGCTTGGTATCATGATCTATTCACAACGCTTCAGATCTTTACTTTCATGGGATTACAGAAGAAAAAAAAACGCCAAGCAAGAGCAGAGGATGATGCAAGTGTTTTAATTTCTTATGAATCCAACAAACAGACCAATACACTGGTCTTTCAAAGACTCTGAGAAAAGCAAGAAAAGTGAAGACTCAGGCTGGGTTGATGAGGATTTGCTGAGTCAAAGGATTCTTGCGGATTGGCAGTCAGCCTCAACCACCAACCCGACTTGCTGATTAATGACTACGTGAAGTGTGGTAGACTGGAACTCATAAATTAAGATATCCAGCTTCTTCTACGTCTCAAAAACATCTTCAAGCTGACATAAAACACAGATTGTTGGTGCATCTAATTGCACTATGAGACATTAGGAGTTTTGGAGGTTCAAGACTAGTAGAAGACGGTAAATTGTTTAGAAGCAGATTTGCGGAGCAACACTCCATCAATCCTGCCCCCCCTCCTCTAATACTATGTACAAGAAGAACCTTTCCGGTTCATCTTGGTGGAGACTAAAGTATCGTTGCATCTTGAGCAGTATAAAATCTCATCATGGGGATCCATCAGCTGTTGAGTTTATTCCTACAATTGATTTTCGGGACTTTCTTGTGATCTGTAAGTGAAGAAAGGGTTTAGGCACCAGGGGCTGAGTAACTTGGTGCTGTCTCTATCTGTCAATCTGTTGGTCTGCTTGTCAGCCTAGATGAGAGAGAAAAACTCCTGGAAATCAACAGCTGGAGATGTTGTAAGGCTCAGCACCTTGATCTTCTGTCCCAAAGCCGCTCTGAGGAATGGAAACCAGGTACTTGGATTATTTCAAATGCTGCCCACTTGCACGCGCACTGCGAGCAAACGCGTCTCGGCTCCATGCCGTGTCATGGAGTTATGTATCATCATCCCGGCCGGAAGGCCAAAAATAACCTCTATTGAAGCCTATGACAGTCGGGTGTAGCTGGGCAAGAGCTGCAGAGGATCATTTCCGCTGAAGAAAACGCGAAGAACTCACCAAGCACTACTCTGGTGTTTGTCGCGAGAAGAGGAAGAAAAAGATCATTATTTCTTTCGGTTGATTCCTCGAGCGCAACTGCATTCTTCGTCGTCATCAACGGGTGCATTTTTTCAGTCGGCTCGGAAGTGCATTTTGCATGCACGCGTCTTCTTTTTTGGGCGATGCTTTCTTTGAGAGCCTCGAAAACTTATGATCAAAAGCTCAGAGAGAAAAGAGTCTCAAGAAAAGCAGTCTGGAATGCATGCTGGCTCGGCATGAGTTTTTTTTTTTTTGCTACGCTTGAGCACTACTTAAGATGCTCTCCGGAATGGCCAAGCAAGGTATCGTCAGTCGCACTACCCTCCTACTCCAACATCCGTTGCGCTTGATTCTTCCCAAAACAAATTTCCTGCTAAAGCTTTCTCCACCCAAAGACTCGAATCTCCCCAAACCGCACCTTGCACTTCCCTTGAACCCGTCCCTCCCCGTCCCCCACATACAAGAACAGATCACAAGAGACCAACGAAGATGGGCCACGACAATTCGAACATACGTCACAAGCGGAGCGCGTCGACGGGATCGCTCCCGGCGCTCGGCCGTCGACTGAGCAACGGCTCGCTCAGAGCAGTCAAATGGATCGGCAAGCAATTCAAAAACAAGAAGCCAGCGAGCGACTCGGATTCGGATGAATCCTGGGGGACCCCATCTGAGCTCCCACTCGGCCAGGACGCCGGACCATCCCGGATCGATGACGAATATGTCCCACAGTCCACGTTGGCTCATCGGGCCCGAAGAGAGGCTCTAGAGAAACACTGGAACGATATCTACTCCTTCGACTGGCCCGCTGGCAAGATTCCCAGCCGGCCTGTTCCTGCTGATCCTGTCGACAGACCCTTGACATCTATGGCCCGGGGGAGGAGGAGGTTGCAATCCCTCAACTCATCCAACGCGCCCCCACATCCATTTGCCCTTGGAAATGCCTCGATAGGCCATCTGCCTGCCCGGGTCCCCCAAAGTGCTCTCAGGATGCGTTCCTTGGAGAGGGAAGAAGTCATCGCAACTCTGCCCAAGCCTAAGCCTCCTCCCGTCAGACCTTTGCCTCCCCCACCCGTTTCCCTCTACCCTATCCCTCCCACCCTTCCTCTAAATATCAGGCGAGACGCTTCCTCACGGTCTCAAACCCCTAGTGAATCCCTGTACTCTGACCCTTCTATTTCCGATAAAAAATCGCGTTGGAAGAGGTTGTATGATCGTTAGAGCCCTTGATCAACCTCGTTGATACCCTCTCTCAAGGTCTTCTGTGTGAAGTTTATGAATTTCTACTTCACCTTTTCTTCCCCCCCCCCCTTTGTGTCTTAACCCACTTTATCTTTGGGTACCATATTGACCGATATCCTGACTTGCTTGTCTATCTATCACTTTTGGCGTGTGACTTTTCATATCTTGTAAACACGTTAAACCCCTTGTATTTTCTTTCGATGGTGAAAATCAAGCCTTTCTGAAGAAATCCCTAAAAAACCTTAAGTTCCAAGTTATCTCTGCTCGAGTCTGAGAGCATCTCACAATTGACCAGGGAGAAATTTGTGCGAGATCTATGTTGGAATGGCCATGCTTCAACACGACCTTTGGAGCACTAAATTCCAATGATCGATAAAAAGTCGGCATTTTGAGGCAGCTTTTTAAGCTTTTTGGTCTTGGATATGAATACGATTTTCAGGGGAACATAACCTGGTCGTGAGTGATGTTTTCTGATATGTGGCGGTCTCCCGAGAGAACACGCTGCCCGGAAACATCCCCTTGGCCAGCATTGTCCGACCAATCATAGTCTTTTGATAACTGATTGGGAGCTTTCCGGACCAGGTTTGCTCGCTCGGTGGCCGCTGATGATGACATTCGTTTGGAGCAAGGAAACCAGAAGCAGCGTACTACCTGGTGCTTTCCGATTCCGAGAACATACCTTCGGTTTAAAGAGTCAACGGAATCAGCTAATAGCAGATATGTAAACGAATATATGGATTCTAAACCCAAGTCAGATTTATTTGGCTCGCTAAACTGACTGGAGACCTGTTGGTTGGAATCATGACAAGATGCGATGCACAAATGTGGGCTTTGAAAAAGTAGGAAAGCATACACATTGAGGGATAAATATGAAGGACTGAGGCCTGACACCTCGATAAGGAACAGTTAAAATAACAACTTACACAGATGGTAAGGATTATGTAGCGGTCGCCAATGTGTCGCAAGAGGCGACCTACATATGTACCCGTGGGAAGGGGGAAATTCCATGTTTGTCTAGATTTACATCGTTCATAGATGAAAAAGAAGGTTCAGAATGAATGTGTTCTAGTTGATCCCTTGAACGGGAGCACACAACATATCAACAAAGGTTGAACGAGTTTGTGTGGAGTGCGTATCCTGACTAGACTAGGTCCAAAAAAGGAGTTGTAATGCAAGAATTCACTTCGACGTTTGTTCATGTCTAAAAGTAGACGACCCAAAGGTCATCCAACATTTTCGACCCAGGAATGACGACGAGTTCGACGTATTTCGGTCTTCAGAGGATGATATAGATTTCTTTGGTGCAAGCCATTCAGGGAACCGAACGTGTCGATAGTTTTAAACAGTTTTTTTTAGATATTCCGGAGAACTTGGGGGTCTGCAAATTGTTATTCGATAGCCTGCTCCAGCTTATTCGAGCGGATAGCTCAACTCCCAACAGACACGGCTGCTCACTCAATGACTATGCTGATGGTCGACTCGAACAGGCTGGGGGGCACAGGGGAGTTCCGATTGGTTCGGACATCGACAATGGGCTTTGGTAATAACAAGAAACACACAAGCAAATCCATTTACTACTACATAAAACATGGGTCATCAAGGGGTGAGTGGCACGACTTCATCACTTCACAGCTAGCGCCTGCTCTACTACACATACCAACAACTCAATTTACACCCAGAACTTCATACTAAGCTCCGAGCTACTCACGCCCTTTGAATTTGCTCCGTCGCTTTTATACTCGATGACCCTTTCCAAGATCCTTATGGGGTACCGTACGTGGACGACTGTGGTGCCAACGGAAATTTTGCCATCGCGGACTCAAATATATGGATAGATACTTTCCATCAATATTAATAATATATATATATTTTTTTTTTGGATTGTCCTTGGCCAAGGGCTTCCTATGTCCCGGCCGTCTCATCCCATAAATCTACCCTATAATCCTTATCCCTCAAAGCTACTCAGGGGCAGCTCGACTCATCATTGCGCGTTTGTACACTCAACAGGAGAGACGCCGGCAGGTTAGAGGCTACTCAACGGTCATCAAAGGATGCTCATACTCATTTTGAGTCTGTACTCAACGAAACCTCGAAGGATACTATACATAGTAAGAATGCATTCCCGAGCTTATAAAGCTCCAGGGCAGAGAGAAATAAGAGAGAGAGAGAGAGAAAATTCAGGAGGAACATGAGCAATTTTGGTTGCACGTTCAGGCCGGATGAACTCCACCAAGAGATTGTGCAACCCATAAACTCTCCCGTCGCCGCTGCAAACAGTGGTAGATAGACCGAAAATTTGAACACTCAACAGCAAGCAATCGTCTGGGGTGAGCTGTTTACGTTTTTTTGCTGACAGTCCGTATAGCTCCTTGGTACCCAAAAATTTCTATAAAATCCCCTCGTCCTTCCCTCTAGATTTTTTTTACATCTCATCCCCAACAAATTTGCTCTCTTCGCTCCCAAGTTAGCAACCCTCCAGACCACTAACTACTATCCATCCCAATCCCCCGTCCTACGCCTCATCGCAGTCTCCAAAGATCAGTTTGACCTTCGACCAACATTAAAAATGACTCTAGCTACCTCTGCCCCCGCTGCATTCAACCGTGAATCTCTTGACTCTATCTTTCGAATCTCGTTCTCTTCTTCTTCGTCTACATCGTCTACTTCTCCTTCTTCGTCCACGTCTTCTTCGTTTATTTCCTCCCCGCTGTGTTCGTTCGCGTCTTGAATTATGAGTCGGACGTTTGTTTTCAAAACATGTTTATATTATAATAATATGTTACGCGATAGGCATGCTTGCTGCCCAGTATATCCAAGGCGTCAGAGCTTTCCAATGCATTCTCGTGTACCCCAGAGAAACGATATTCGCAGTTTTTCTGTCTTCCGAGCTTCGTTTGCATCTTGATTTATAAGTCGGATGTTCGTATTCAAGACACATTTGTATGTTTTAGCGATGTGTTCGGTGATCGGCAAGCTTGGTGCCCAGTATATTATGGACTCGCAGCTCTCCAATGCAATCACGGGTTGCCCCCCCCCCCTCCCTCAAAAAAAAAAAGAAAGGTCTAGGGCCAAACCTTTACCCAATGCAAATGAGCAGTATAAGATGCCTCGTTCGTATCGTTCGATTCTGTTACCTACCTGGGTAGATTGAGTGCAGGTGGAATGCCAGTTTCCTGATGACTGAAGGAAGGGAAAAACAAACTTTTTTAGGGAATGAGAAAATGAATTAGTATTGGTTTCTTATGTTTCTAGGTGACTTTTCGGAGACCGATGAATCCATGTCGGACCAATCTTCTGAGACTGAATCCATGTCGGAGCCATCGATATTCGACACGAACTCATCTACGCCCACCGAGAGTATGTGTAACGTCCATCTTCTGATGCTGCTGCTGGAAGAATGAAAATTCATGAGTGATAGAAGAGATCAATTGAAGTTCGTTTCTTATACTGTTTGCACATAGATGACTCTTCTCGTGCTACGTCGGGGGCATCGACGCCACTATCCGACATTTTCTCGCGAGCTGAGGGTATGTTCAAGGTCCAGTTGCTGATATAGGATGAAGGGATTGTTAGTGTGTGAGGAGATGAACTGAAGTCGCGTTATTAATGTTTGTGTTTAGATACATCCGACGATGAAGCATTTTTGGAGACTCCACCTCCTCGTTATTCAGGGCGTCGCCGCCGCGGGCTCCGACCGATCAGGATCCAAGGTTCCACTCCGACGAGGGCTCCGATGATGCCCTACTACAGCACCGATGGGGGTCCAGCTTTCCCGATGAGACACAACGACGGTGGCGAAACTACTGCCGGGGCTCCTCACCGGCTTGAGGTCAGCCAAGATACCCCGATGGATCAATTCAGGCCATCCGGCTCGAGCCATCTTCCGCCACCAAACAGCCCTTGGGCTTCACGATCGCCGTCCCCGTCTCCGTCTAATCAGACCGAATCCACGCTCGATTACTGTCCGTTCGAGATCGAAGAAGACTGGTTGGAAGGAGGAACTGGGATCAAGGTTCCCGACGTCGGCTCCGGCTCTCGACAACGCGATTATTAACTATAACAACGATCTGAAAAGGAAATATAAAGAAGGAAAGAACTGTTATTTTTTTTTATTTAGGCTCTTCAAATTCTAGTCAATGCCAGGTGCAGAGGAAAAAAAGATCTCAAGATGGGTGATTCAAGGTTTTCACAGTCAATCGGTCGGTAAAATAGCTGGTAAAGTTTGATCGTTATTGGGGGAAATGATTCGTACGAGAGGATCTATTTATTTGTTTCTTGCGGGTAGTTTCCATCGACTTGCCCCCCCCCCCCTGTTGGGCTTGGATCAGATCGTTTTACATACCCCATTCCAATTCATTTTCAATTTTTTTTATACATAAAATAACTCAGTTCTTAACCTCCTCTATATTCAAACCTGCAATCGTTATTTTAGCTAAAAAAAATCGAACACAAAAAAAAACCACGAAAAAAAAGAGAAAGAAAAAACGCTTGTTGTTGAACTCGTTTCTGTTATCGTTATAAAATCCTGTAGTGTTTCTGTTATCAATCGATCCCGATGTTTTCCCGAATTAGTTTCAATCGTCGTTATACATATATTAGTCCTGATGTAGTTTCTGTGACTGATACTCAAATGTAGTGTGATTGATCGACCAAGTCCTGTAGGTTCTGTGACCGACCAATCCCGATGTTTTCCAAACTAGTTTCTTCCATCACCAAATCCCCAAATGTTTCCCAAGCTAGGTTTCTGCCATCGATCAATCCCCATGTTTTGCCTTTGAAATTAAAAAAAATAGTCACTGTTATCGATAAATCCTGTAGTTCCTGTGCTTGAATGAATACTATTTACCGATCCATCTCCGCGTGTTTTCCAGACCAGCCTGTGACCATGATAAGTCCGGCGTTTCTCATCTGCTTGTATAAGCTTATGATTGAAATCTCCCCACAGATAGATCACTATTCACTTTTGATGAGTGAGCAGCTTCAGAGAAGTAGTTGCAGGACAGCGTTAAAACTGGGAAATGTTCAACAATTTCAGTCAACAACCTTAGCATGTTGTTCTCATTGGTTTGGCTGGGGAGGCATGAAGAATTTGTTGACTGCTGATTTTGTTTTTTTGTTTTGAGTGGGACCTGAACTGATGGGGGGTGTACATGATAAATTGTGCATCACAAAGTCCAAGGAAATGAAGATTTGATGATCTTGTTGCAAAGGGTTGGGTTTGAATTGGTTGTGTTGCGAAGACAACTTTGCAGCTTGCGCTCGGTCTCCCGGGTGGCTTGCCCTCCTGGAGCCCTCCTGAGCTCGGTTGAAGTGTTCTTCCTCCTCCACGCGGCCCCTCCGAGTCCATCAGCCTCCTCCCCTGTTGGATCTCTTCTCCCCCCACTCTCTCTCTCTCTCCAGTGCTTGTTGGTTTACTTCTTCTTGACTGTGCTTGGTGAGTCCATCAGAACAAGACCAGACTCAAGTCTTTCTTCTTTCCTTCTCTCCTTCTCTCCTTCTCCTCCTCCTCCTCCTGCCCACCCCCTCCCTCACCAGTCACACCCGCATCCCTCGTCATCCTCATCGACTTCAGTCCCGATCCCACCCCACTCAACCTTCGTATGACATAATTCAGCCATCGCCCTCGTACTTAATCATAATCAAGTCAATCAAAATAAAACAAAAAATA